CAGTAGGGCAAAACTTCCTACCCGGATCTAGTTTCATTGACACTTTCTCAGTTTCATGAGCTCTGCTCTGCTGAGTGGCGGCCTGGCCTCCCTCTTTGCTTTGTTGAGGGGAGAAACAATCTCGCTGCTGTCTAGAAATAAATCCTTCCAGTTGGTGCACTGGGAAACTTAAACTTTTCTGTTTGGCATCTGATCTGCATTCCAGTTATTGGGGTAACAATTAGGAACTTGGCACTCCAGTGTTGCTGTGCAGTCTGCAGCAAGGTGTAGGTTTATGGCTGGTTTTTGTTTTTTTTTTTGTTTTTTTTTTTTACTTTCTCAGTACACTTGTATAGGAGAATGCTTGGATTCAGAATGGAGTAGAGAGTCAGCATACCTATTTACCTCACCACTGGAATTGTTGATGAGCAGTGTGTCATTTCCAGTTCTTCCAGTGAAGTCTAGGGACATATTTAGGATGAATGCTGCAAGGCCACTGATGCTTCTGTCTAATAAGCAAAACAAGTTTTGGTTAACTTAGATTAGTCTAGCCTTTTTAGCCATGGAGGCTAAACACCAGCAAGCAACCCTTCCTACTCTGCAAGACAAGCCTGGTTGTGGCTGCAAGGGGAGTGGGAACTTAGAAAGAGTGAGAAAGCATGGGGAACACTGAGTACTGGTGAATGGTGCTATCTGTCAGGTTCCAGTGCTTAGGAGGATGTGTTTGGGGAAGCAATTTCTCCCTGAACAGAGATGCTCTCACCTTCCCTGAGAAGTGACACTTGAAATGGAGTTGTCTTGTGGACTAGCGCTGGTTACCTGTTGGATCTTGTTGACTGATCAACTAGCAAACAGCTGTGAAGGCACTTGCTAATGGATTTAGTCTGTGTCTTTGTGGATGGCTCTAGGAAATGTTGCTTTGGGCCCCTTAATCTATGACCTGTTAACATTTCTTTTGGAGAATATGAAGCTGAAAGAGTCAGATTTATCACCATTCTGTACAATTTCCCTGTCTGAGCAGGTGGAGCATTGTGAAGGCGTCTGAAATTAGGAGGTGTGCGCAAAGCTGAAAACCTGTTTTAAGGGGTTGTTGGAAATGTTTGCTACAGTGAGCTTCTTAGGTGATGATGTCAGTGATGATTTTGTTGCTGCTATTGCCAGGTTTGTGTTCAAGTCAGTTAATTCTTTGACCTTTCCATAGGTGCAGCAAATAGAACAGGAATAGCATAAGCAATTTCAGACTGTCTGCCCAAGTCATGTGTGCATATTGGGTTAAATATTTCTTAAAGCATTCCTGGGACTTTGACATTCTTAATGCTGGTTAAGATACTGTTACCTCTGAGGTATGACCTCTTTATACTGATTGACTCATGACTTACATGTGCCATTGTTTGCCTGCCAGATTTTAAATTGGAGTATACATTCATTTCAGGTAGGCTCAGATATATCAGATATATAGAGAAAATAGAGAAATTTTTGTTGCCCTTGAAATAGTACATTCCTATATCATCATACCCTACTAAGATTAGGCAAGTAGAGGGATGAAAATTAAGAGTTAAGATGGAAGTTGAAAGAGGAAGAAATATGTAACTTTTTATTAATGAATATTTAACTTAAATGCTTAAGATGCATTTTCTTTGTAATTTTACATTTTAACATAAACCTAGCTCTTAAGGAAGGTACAAGTGATGATGACTATATTCAAATGATCCTTAGTCTCTCTCCTTAGACTGATATAATTCTACTTTTTGGTCTATTGATCTGTTATCCATGGTTTAAAACAAAAATTTGTTTTGTGTTCCCAATTTAGAAATAAACTAAGTTAACAATGAATAGTGATGTAAATAATGTTTTAGATCTATACTTTAGTATACATCTTTTTGTGGCTTTTCATGACAAGCACTGGATTCTAAGTACTGGAAAACAGTGTGAATGCCTCCTTGTTTAATCTAATGTTGTGTGTATTTTGATTAGGAACTTTGTTTTTTATTTCTGCCAGTTAGAAGAACAGCTCTATAATTCACTGTTAAATTTACCTGTTGTGTCTTGGTTGACAGTTTCCATTTATACGCATATCAACTCACCTACATGCTAATTTCGGTGAGGAGGAAATAGAAGAGGGATATTTTTGTGTGTGAACCTGATATGAGCCTCCACAAGAGTGAACAAAGATCTACATAATCCCACTTCACCAAGAAATACTTAAGAGGCCCATTGTTAAACATAAAGTCAAGGAGGTGACAAATCATAAATATCTGTATGACAGGCAAAATTCTGCTAGAGGGGCATCTGTTAACAAAAGTTTAAGTTGTGAAAAATGGGAAATGTCTTTTTTTTGGAAGGAAGTAAAGGAGCCTTGTTTTTCTTTTAACGAAAGAGTTTCTGGCTTATCATACCGCTGGCAGCAGTGGAGTCTCTTTGGCAGTCACTAAGGGAACATCCCATTTTGATTTGAAGATTATTTTCTGCTTCAAACAAATTCCTGTAGTGGATTTCCATGGTTAATGCTGCACACGAATGTAGGAGACCAAGTGATTTGCAGCCAGCCCTGCTGGCTTATAAACCAGTTGCTTTTGCAGGTGGTGTGGGTGTTGATTTGCTTTTTCTTCTATTTTTCTGTTAAATCAAGATGATCCAGACTTCAACATAGATTCACTGCCTGTTTATCTTACATTTCACTTTTCTGGTGTAAAAGTTCAAACAACTAATAATCAGCTTATCGTTAGATATTTAACCTTCTAAGTGCTCAGTTGCTACCTTCAAATGCTTTTAAATGACTCCACTGACTGTGCTGCTCTTGCCTCCTGACTAGTGTCATCCTCTCGAGTTTTCCTATGAGGTGGCCTCAAACCTTCTCCCTCACTTTGTCAGTGTAGAGGAAGCTGGCAGGAAACAATTTAAACTGCTTGATTTTTTCCAGTATGGAAAGTCTAATCTGTGACTTCCGTGAGCAGTTCTCCACTCTGACTTGTGAGAATTGTCGCAATCAGCGAGGAGAGATCCTTCAGTCCTCCGGTGCTCCTGCTGAGTCCTAGGAAGCTGTGTCTGGTGCTTGATCCAATTGTAAATCCAAATTATTGTTTCCTTTCAGCCCCTAAGAATTTCCAGCAAAGTTCTGGGAGCCTGATAAAATTTGAAAATCCTGAAGAAAATGCCTTTGAGACTCCTGGTAACTGCTTGAGTAGTTAGGATATGTGTGCACAGGTTTGCTGGGTGGACTTAGTCCACCCAAGAACCATAGTTCAGCTCCTGTTGGGGGTATTTGATTGCCCTGGCCCTCTTTTGGTGGGAGGGGAGGCAGCTGAGGGAACAAACATTTCTCCAGCTGCCAAGAGCTTTCCCAAAGCCTTGGGATGAAGACTTCAGGATATCTCTTTGCTGGGCTGGAGACGTTGCAGAAGTTGCCCTGTTGTCCTTCCCTCACCCTCCAGCTTGACATAAGGGTCTCCTGCATCATGATTAGCCCATGCTGTTGAATAGTTTCAAAAGACAGAATTGTCAGGCTTTGTTCGTTAGCTCCCACTAAGCATGCACTGACGGACACTTTCAGTATGTTTTTTCTTTCTTTTTTTCACCAAAAATTGGGAAATGGATGTGGAAAGAAAAAGTTTGGGCCATGTGAACAAGCACTCTGAAGCAAGGGAGTATCTATTGCCTGGATGACTGTACAATGTGCAGTTTGGCCCAGACTTGCCAGATATTTGGGTTTCCAGTTAGCTCTGCAGTTCACTGTACTGCTGTAGCTGTTTAAAAATCTGGGTTGCTCTGGTGACAGTGAATTGGCAGGATGACTCCCACAGTAATCCCTTCATGGCTCCAGGGGTGGGTGGGAGCAGACAGTGCTGCTCAGTTTTGTGTTGTGCCAGATCTCTCCTACATCCCTCTTGTGGTTTATGATAAGAGCTTTTCAGAAGTGTTCCAGAAGGCTCGTTGAAGCCTGCAGTGTTTTATCTGAAACTTTTCATGTTTGCTGGGCGCAGGGAGAGGAAAGAGAGAAAGCCTTGTGTTGTATCTAAGGTAGGCTTCCAACTCTGCATGGACTCCTGGCAGCTCAGCCCTGTGGCTGTGCTAAGCCCAGTCCTGAGCATGATTTACTCTCTGGGTCTGCCTTAAGGCTGAGACCAAAAGGATCCCACCTGCTCCTCCACACCTCGAGTGCTCTTCCCATCTTTTCTCTGCTACTGCTGCATTCTTGAAGTTCCAAACTCTGAAATTTCAGACATTGTTTGAATTTTAAGCCTTGCTTGCACCAAACCTGACCTTGCTCCATTGTCAGTGAAATATCAAGTTAAGCAGAAACTGTGTTTACTGGCCAGATCTAATAAACTACATTTTGCCATCTTAAAATGGCTTATTGTGTCCTTTTCGTTTCTTTGGTATGGCTGTGAGGCTGTTTATCATCAGTGCACTGGTGGATGCTCATCCAGTCAACTAAACCTCTTGTTTCTTGACTTTACACCTCTTGATTTTGTAACTTAGGTTAATGTGAAATTTTCTTGATGTCCTTCAGTGTAAATACTTGGAAATAGGTATATATCAATGTCTAATGGCTTTAACTATGTGTTAAATTACTATTATTATTTGCTACTCAATAGTCTATTCTGCAGTTTGTAGCATTTCTTGTGCAGAAATTTTTGTGTCTCCAAATGGAAATAAGTTGTCCTGTACCTCATTCTGTTGTTCAGTCACTGAGACTGACAACCCAGTTTGCAAGTGGCATAAGTAAAACAGTTGCAGTTTCCTGCAGCCTGTAAAGTTCTGAAAGTTCTACATTTGTTTTAGATTTCGTTTTCTTGTTAGTGGATTGAAATGTGGCACAGTAGTTTTGAAATCTTACTTGCGCTCAGAGATGTGATTTTTTTGTTTGTTTGTTTGTTTAATTAGGATTTCAGACTCTTAACTTGCATGCTTCTTTATTTTACCCAGAGCTTGCTTGTTTATATTCTTTTTATTGCTGATACTACAGTGACTTGTCAGTCTGGCTACGGAAACTTAACCCATGTTTGGTTTTTTTTCTTTAGGCACTCAGTGTTACTGAAACTCTGATCAAACCTTTGGAAAGGTTTAGGAAAGAGCAGCTAGGAGCTGTAAAGGTTTGTCCCTCGTTGCCTTTATGATAAGTTTAACTTCTGTACTTGTATTGCATTACAGTAGTGACATGTATTTGGCAGAGATACTGTTGTTTATGTTTAATGTATTCATACTTTTTTTTTCCCTCCTGCTTTGAGAACTTGCTTCAGAAACGAATGGAAAGTATGTTTCAAGAAGAGAAGAATGTGTCCTTTCCCTTCTTTCTCTCCTCCCCCTCCCTTATCTCTTCTGTCTGAAATAGGAGCCATCCTGCTAACAGCCTGCCCCCCTTCCTGATGGGAAACCCTGTTCTGCTTTGTATTTGCCTGCAGTTGCACAATCAAAGGCTGAAAAATATTAACTACCCAAAGGACCTCGCTCATCCATCTACTTTTAACTGTTTGTTGGTTTGTGGTTTTTTTTTTTTTTGCAACCTGTCAAGTGAAAATTGTTGTTTTTAATAAATTACTTGTTGCATTTATATGAGTGGAAAAACCCCAACACAGAGGTAGAGAGCCTAAAGACAAGATCTCATTCAAAGTTGTTGCTGGTTTATTCTTTGTGAAAGTGTTCAGCGGTTTTTTTTAACATCTGCTGTATTGTGTATATTAATAAAAAAAAATAATAAACTTCATATATTAAATACAGACTAGCTTTGGATGAAAGTAATAAGGAAAATTTTGACCTCTTTCTATGTGTCGTCTTTTGGTAAGAAACTTAAATGCTTTCTCAAAAAAACTGGCAAAAAAACCCCCCAATTGGACTATTTAACATAGATTTTTTTTTTTTTTTTCCCTCTTACCAAAATCAATTTCTACATTTTTAAACTACTATTCTGCAGATGTTTTATCTAATAATTCCATGACTTCATCAGCAGTGATATTTACTAGCTAAGGTAATGTTTCAGTTACAAGAGCAGTATACATTTGGACTTTTTAGGAATGATTTCATTGTTCATGAATGGAAAATGCTCTGTTCATTGTAAATCATTGCAGTTCACTAGCACAAGGAACTTTTGTGTAATTTTATGGACTTTTGAGAAGTATATCAGGCGTCAAAACCAAGATACAATAAAAACTTGGTCTGTAATACAGGGAGTCCACCATGGCAAAAGAGAATTTGCTCTAAATGTGACTTATTGTTATAGAAGCAGCTGTAATGAATGGAGTATTTGAATGATTTTTTTTTTTATATTAAAGAACATTGCTAGGTTGGGGTGAGAAATCCTAACTCTAAATTACTTCACAGTCTTCACTCATTTCCCACCTGGATTTCCTACCTGGAATTCTGTCCCTGATGTCTCTGACACATTTTGCATTTTGTTTAGATGGATGTTTCTTCGCTTGTGTCCCTGCATACTATTTCAGTGAAGTTGAAGCTCTTATTTGTGATTTAGCCTTTTTAAAATTTATTTTATTTAATAGATTTCTCAGTGACCTTAAGTGGAACAGTCTTGCATAATTATGTAACATTAAAAAACCACCCCAAAACCAAACCCACAAACCTAAAACTATTTAACTCTTTAAATATTCCTAACTGAATATTCATTCAATATAATCAAAGTATTGACTTTGGAAATATAATACTCTGTACCTTTTAAACCAGATTATGACGTCTAGTAGTGAATATCTGGAGCATGGTGTAGTATCTGCTTTTTTTGTAATATTATGAGTTGAATTTGCTGCCTCAGATTTTCCTTACATCCCCTGATAATTAAATGGTCTGACGTAGGCCAAAGAAGCAAAAGGAAAGAAAAAATGTTTAGTTCCTTTTTACTGGAAACAGAGACCATTTATTGAATTACTCCTTAGTAAAAACTATTGCAACTCAATCCCGAACTGCACACGTGAAATTTCTGGCAGGACTTATTATTTGTGGACCAGATCAGAGGAAATTTTGCTAATATAAAGACAAAGTTTTCCCCCAACACACATGTTTTCTTTCTAATTTCCCATATGCTAATACAGAATCATGGAATGATTTGAGTTGGAAGGAACCTTAAATATCATTTAGTTCCAACTCCTCTGCCATGGGTAGGGACACCTCCCACTAGAGCAGGTTACTCCAAGCCCTGTCCGACCTGGCTTTGAACACTTCCAGGGAGGGGGCTTCCCCAACTTTTCTGGGCAACCTGTTCCAGCGTCTCCTTGCCATCACAGTAAAGAATTTCTTTTTGTTTAATCTAGATCTACCCTCTTTCAGTTTCAAACTGTTATCCCTTGTCCTCTCACTACACTTTGTTAAAGAATCCCTCCCCTTCTTTCCTGTAGGCCTGTAAGTACTGGGAGGCTGCTATAAGGTCTCCCTGGAGCCTTCTGTTCTCCACAGTGTACAGCCCCAACTCTCAGCCTGTCCTCATACAGGAGGAGGTGCTCCAACTTCCTCATTGTTTTCATGGCCCTCCTCTGGACTTGCTCCAACCTGTCTGTCTCTTTCTTATGTTGGAGGACCCAGAACTGAACACAGAACTGCAGATGGGGTCTCATAAGAGCAGAGCAGAGTAGAGAGGGAGAATCACCTCACTTGACCTGCTGGCTACGCTGCTTCTGATGCAGCCCAGGATGCGATTGGCCTTGTGGGCCGCGAGCACACACTGCAGACTCGTGTTCAGTTTTTCATCCACCAACACTTCCATGTCCTTCTCTGCAGGGCTGCTAACAGTCGTCTCGTTGCCCAGCCTGTGTTTGTCCTTGGGATTGCCCAGACCTGGGTGTGGGACTGTGCACTTGGTCTTGTTAAACAAGTTGATATGGCACCACCTGTTAAGATCTCTCTGGATGGCATCCCTTCCCTCCAGCGTGTCGACTGCACCCTTCCTGTCATTTGCAAATTTGCTGAGGGTGCACTTAATTCCACTGTCTATGTCATTGATGATGATATTAAACAGCACTCTTCCCAGCTGGAATGCCTGAGGGATGGCACTTATCACTGGTTGCTACTCAGACATCGAGCCATTCACCACAACTCTTTGAGTGTGACCATCCAGCCAATTCCTTACCCACTGAGCAATCCATCTGTCAAATCCACATCATCTCCAGTTTAGAGGCAAAGATGTCATGTGGGACGTTGTCAAATCCTTTGCACAAACCTATGCAGTTGATGTCAGTTGCCCTTCCCTTGTCCACTGACTCTGTAGCCCCACCATGGAGGGCCACCAAATTTGTGAGGCACCATTTGTCCTTCGTGAAGTCCTGTTGGCTGTTGCCAATCAATTCCTTATTTTCCATGTGCCCTAGCAGAGGTCCCAGGAGGATCCACTCCATGATCTTGCCAGGTACAGAGGTGAGATTGACTGGCCTGTAGTTCCCTTCATAGAATCATAGAATGGCCTAGGCTGGAAGGGACCTGAGAGATCATTTAATCTAACCTCCCTGTCATGGGCAGGGACGCCACCTCTTGACTAGAGCAGGCAACACCTGGGGACCGAGCGGGAATCGAACCCGCAGCCTTGGTGTTGTCCTTGTTGTCAGCACTGCGCTCAAACCACTGAGCTAACCGGCACCCTTCATCTTCCTTTTCTCAGTTATCAAAAATGGGGATTATGTTTCCTCTTTTCCAGCCTCACCAGACTGCCACAACTCCTCAAATATGATGGATAGTGTTCCTCTGTATATTATCCCTAATCGTGCTAGTTGCACGTGTGTATCTTAGTGTTTCTTGGTGAGGAGTATTGTGACTGCTTCTCTAAAGGAGGTTCTTAGATTTATAATGGAGAAAAAACTAGCATTCTCAGCAGTTTAGATCCCATCTTAAATAGAGTGCCGTCTTCAAAATCCAGTCATTCAGAGAACAAGAACATATATTATTTATATATAGTATTATTAAAAATAAAAGATAAAGAGAAAAAAAACCCAGACAAGTATGTCTGTAGAATTTAACTGGTATGTTGGATAGAATATATTTAAATGAAATTCCAAGTTGACACATGATGGAAAAATATTTTAATTGAGCTGATATCTTTCCTATGAGTGTCTCTGTCAGTTCTTGAATATATAATTTAGTACTTAATTTTACTTAGTTTAGATTTTTAACTGCAATTAGTTATACCAAAAAATAGCTTCAAAACTGGTTAGTTGACTTAATCAATACTGATTTCTGTTTTAGCACGCAAAGTTAACAAACTACAGTTGAGCAAGTGAAGAGATTGATTTCTCAGTACTTTTACTAAATTAGATCCAAGAACTCCGTTTTCCTGGAGACACTGAATGGCTGTCCTTTTCTCAGTACATTGCTTCTCATGGTCAGAGAAATGGAGTTGCATCTGCAAATGATATTTCTATGTGTCTAGGAAAGTTTTTCTTTTGCTAGCATGACTTTATGTTTTATGGAGATTTTTCTTTATTTAAAATATTTTGTTTTTCATGGGTGCAATGTTTTGATAGAAGCAGGAATTCAGCGCAGAAGTCTTTGCATGGCTTTTAAATCAAAAAAATCTTGTGGGATATGGAGCTGTAGTTGCTTTGGGTATTGAACTGTGGAACTTTTCCCTTGGTGATTATAGAAAGTTCTTTTGTTCAGTGAAACTGATATTTCCATTGAAGTCCGTTGTTCAAAACTGAGATGATATGTCGGATCCCTGAAAATAATGAAAAATGTAATAATTTTGAAGAGGTGGGATTTTTTTGTTTTTTAAACTTGTAAGCATTCATGTTGTAAGCTTTACCATAATGTTGTAATGGGATTTAATTTCAAGTTAGCTCTTAAATTAATTTTAAAAATGAGTTGAAAACATAGTTTTCCTTAGTTATTTGTTTCTCTCTGTTTCTGATTAAGTAGAATTTTAAGAGAAGAAAGGAGGCTTTTCTTACATATTAGATATAAATTAATATTGTTTTGTTTCCGTGTTTAGGAGGAAAAGAAGAAATTTGATAAAGAGACAGAGAAAAACTACAGTTTGTTAGAAAAGCATTTGAATTTATCAGCTAAGAAGAAAGAGCTACAATTACAAGAGGTATTGTTGCCTTTTTTATGCAAGCTAAATGTTTTGAATAGGTAAATATATTTTACGCAGATGCAAAAATTGCATTCATAGTGGTAACAGCAAAATTTCTCTTAAATGGAAAGGTTAGTGAGAAAATCATTATTTGCTGAACTTAGTGGTCTACCTCTACTGTTTTATCAATTGAGGGCTTTACTTGGAGCGTCTGCAAAGCACTGAACATCACTTTTAAAAGTGTAATTAAGAGAATAGCAAAATACAAGTATATTGTGAGAAATTCTGTATTTTTTATGAGGCTTTCCCATATATGTAATTTGCATTGTATTGCTTGTATTGACAATGCCCTGTGTTAACATTTAGTGCAAAGTACGGGAAGACTTATATTCCTGAAGGAAGTGTTTCTGTGTTGTTTTTTTTCTTTCTCATGTTTTGAAGATCCATTTTTTCAAGTAGTGCTACAAAAATGTTTGTTGACAATTTATAATTTAAAACCAGATCTGTTTTGACTGGCATTCCTTCTGTCACTGTGGGTTTGTTATCATCATCATCATCCTTATTGGTAATAGCTTTTATTTTTGGAGCAACAGCAAACCATACATGAGAAGACAACAGATAAATTTTGCAGAGGCTTGCTCTAGGCACGAGGATTTTTTTTCAGAGAAATGTAAATGTGTGGGAATTATTGATGCTTAGTCTACTAATACCTTGTATCATTACACACTTAGTACTTTCTCAGAGTTAACTCTTCCCCCTGCCCTCTACCCCACCCCAAGTAATCTATGCCTTTTTTCTTAAAAAATGGTTAATATAAGTGGCAAGTGAGCTAGGAGCTTAAGAGCTGCAAGTATTTTCAAGTTTCACTAGGATGTTACTCATTTATACTGTATTTGCAACATATGTTCTCATATGTATAAACAAGTATCTTTTGAGGAGTTGAGTTGTCCCGGTGAAGCTAATGGGCACTGCTCAGGTGTCAGGAACTGTAGTTTTATCAAATTGATCAGCTGCCCAAGAACTTGATTCCAAAAATATTAAAAAATTAAATATGATCTCTTACTTGATGATATTGAGAACTGTATTTTGATGTCTAAAATAAGACCTGAACTCAATGGAAAAATACAAAATGCCTGCAAGAGACATTCTGAAGCTGTATCAAATATAGTCTGAAGTTTTAAAGCATGTATGAAGACCAGTATGAGCATGTAGATTTGTTTTCATTGTCCTTCAAAGTTTCGTCAACAAAAAATTCTGAAATTCAGTCAAGCTCTTTCTTTCATTTGTGCTTTTAATTTTGGAGTATAAATGTATGAGCAGTGGCAAAAAATTAGGACTTGCAGCATGATGTCAGAGTGCTAAATGGGAAAAACTTTCCTACATAAGCTTAGAAGATAGGTGTATATCTAAATTAGGAAGCGTGAGAACTTTGCAATTTTGTATTATACATGGCTAGTTGTGTCAGTTCCTGATTGGAGTAAATAAAGAATGCAGAGATAAATTTGATGAAAATTTGATTAAACATGTGCCGTGCTGTGGACTGTGTCTTGTATTGACATAACCTTTGACTGTCTCAGTGGAGGGATATTCCTGAAATTTCACTGGGGCACAGTGTGTGTCTTATTTCTGTACTTCTTTGGCAGTGTGCAAAGTACAGTGCAACAACAAGCAAATTTTCTGGGTGCGTGGGAAGGGTCATGCCTCAAAAAACTGAGGAGAGGTGCGTGTTTTGCCGATTGGCCTGGGGCGAGGGGTCCTGCAGAAAAGGACACAGGCACCAACAGAGAAGTGTTGGCTTATTTTACTGTCTACTTCAAAGTATTACAAGAATAAGGCAACACAAGCTTATTATACTCTAGTTTTAAGCAGCAAGGAGAATAAGGTAGTGCACCTAATCATTACTCTTTAGGGTTAGCGATAGTTATTAAAAAAAGTACATCACCAGTCGCCCTAATATCATCATCCACATCCGCAGTTGCTGGGGAGCCCCTGGTGCAGCGAGGATTCTGGAGAACTGTCCCAGCAACTGGGAAGTCCTACGCAGTGCGTCCACTCGTAGGTGAGGTCTCTGAAGTCGCTGCAAGAGGGTCCAGATTTTAGACTATTAAATAAACAACCTTATATAACTTCAAATGTGGGAACATCTGGTGTTGTCCGTTCCATTGGATTCCTCCCACAGCCTGGCCAGGCTAAAGCAGGAACACAAGGGAGTCTCCTTATCTATTTCAGTCCTTAATCACATACTTCTCACCAAAGCCAGGCCTCTAGTCTCACGGTCTTGTAACACGCTTTTACCAAAGCAGGAGGCAGCTTGTTTCCCAGCCTTGCACGTGGCCTTTAGATAAAGAAAGATTGCTCTGCTAGTTCCCACTGCACATTTAGTCACCTAATCATTACTCTTTAGGGTTAGCGATAGTTATTAAAAAAAGTACATCACCAGTCGCCCTAATATCATCATCCACATCCGCAGTTGCTGGGGAGCCCCTGGTGCAGCGAGGATTCTGGAGAACTGTCCCAGCAACTGGGAAGTCCTACGCAGTGCGTCCACTCGTAGGTGAGGTCTCTGAAGTCGCTGCAAGAGGGTCCAGATTTTAGACTATTAAATAAACAACCTTATATAACTTCAAATGTGGGAACATCTGGTGTTGTCCGTTCCATTGGATTCCTCCCACAGCCTGGCCAGGCTAAAGCAGGAACACAAGGGAGTCTCCTTATCTATTTCAGTCCTTAATCACATACTTCTCACCAAAGCCAGGCCTCTAGTCTCACGGTCTTGTAACACGCTTTTACCAAAGCAGGAGGCAGCTTGTTTCCCAGCCTTGCACGTGGCCTTTAGATAAAGAAAGATTGCTCTGCTAGTTCCCACTGCACATTTAGTGTTACAGGCAAAGCTTTTACAGATTGGCATTGGAATATATATATATACACACACACATGCTAAAAAAAATAGATCATCAGTACATTACATATGTGATTAATACTATATAGTATGGGGTTGTGAGGTTCATCTATAGGTCAACTTCAGTTCAGGGTCTACGATTCAGCCCCTAGCACTACAACGTGATTGTTTATTTACAGGGGATTTGAGAGTAATTAATAAAATGGCTGTATTGGGTATTGCATTCTCGGGGGAGAGAAACAATAAACAGTCAGAACCGAAGAAGAGATTGTGGAACAAGCGTATGTGGGGCTTTGATGTATATAGGGCAGTCTTAGTATTGATTAGCCAGATGTCCTAGTAGACCCACTTCATAGTCTTTTCCTGTGGCTACCCTTCAGTACGTGTATACATCCCTAGAAGCTTTGCTGACAAACAATGCCTGTGGTGCGTGTTCTACAGGATGCATTGAAATAGCTTTTTGAAACACATTTCCTTACCAATGTGCACGTTGGTGCTTTATTTTAAAACGGCCTTTGGTTGTTACAGCCCTTTAGCTGCTGACAGATTCCTAGCACAGAACAGCAAAGCACGTCTTAAGGGAAAACCTGTCTTACTAATTTGACTTATCCTCTTAAAGTGTAACAGTCACTGTTCTGCCTGAAGGTTATGGTCTCAGCATTTAACAGAGTATGTGATAGTAAGTTTGATGTTTTCACCTAACCCTTTCTTCCTTCCCTCTTGTAATTTAGTGTAGAAACATTTGGCATTATCAGATGGGCAAAGATTAAGTGTCAATCACTTAAGAGTATCCCTTCGTAGCCTTTCTTTTATATTTTTTAGTAAAAGTTTCTGTTCCCCAGTTCTTGAAGTTTTACAGTTTAATTGGGGATGCATGTATCTTAAATTATAACTTAATGAAATAATATGTATATGCTACCAAGTTAAATATTTACACACAGATGAATGGCAGTTGTAATAATAACTGTTCACCATCAATATGGTGTTGGCATTTTGGTAAAGCTGAGCTAAATGTCAGTATTTAATGCTCAGTGGAAATTTGTGAAGTGTCTTACCAATAAGTGAATCCTTTTTTTACTGCTTTTTTTGCCAGTCAGATTGAGCACTAGTGTGGGATGAGTACAATAGCATTACTGACTATTTACAGCAGTTATTTGAATTACAGAATGAAGCTTACAGTACCAGCAATGTGGTTTTCAAGAATATTTTTTTCCTTAGTTTGACTGGAGAGGTGATTTCTCCTTTTTCTGATGGAAGGTGCTGCTAGTCCACTTTCTCTGGGCTGGCAGCTTTTCAAGGGTATTAAAGCATTGTACAGATACCTGCTTGGGTTCTATAGCAAAGAATCTTGAGGAGGCGTTATTGGAATGTTTCTAAAAATTTAGCCTCATGATTTGAAACATTTGATCTATTATCTAGTGAAAAGGAATTGCTGCTGCCATTTAAAAAGTAAATGAATGAGATGTGTTGTAAAGGAACAAATCCTCGTCTCAAGAAAATTATCTTATCTCTTGCCCCTTGTGTTCTATACATGTGTCATTGTGAAGCTGTCTGAAATATGGCTTTGAAACTTCATGAGCTGTTTTCTGTGTGCAGGCAGATAACCAAGTGGAGCAGAACAGGAAACACTTCTATGAGCTGTCCCTCGAGTATGTGTGCAAGTTGCAAGAGATACAGGAGCGGAAGAAATTTGAGTGTGTGGAACCCGTAAGTACCAGTGAATTCAGCCTTCCCTCTCATTTCTAAGGGATGGAGAAGGAATGCAACCAGACAAAAGCCAAGGAGCTCTGTTTTCTGGGGCAATGTATGCAATTGTGTGACTTAACAGAATTTAAAGAGCTCTTGTTAGGTCTTGCTATGTCTGATACAGGTACAGTTAACCAGGTATCTCACAGCTTACCTTGGTAGTCACAGTTGATTTGGATCTATTGGTGTTGATCTTCAGAAAATGTGTGAAATCTTGTGCTGTACTGCTAAAACCTCGATTTAAGGTGGAAGTTACAGGATTCAAGAAGATCATGTTGGGGTCACACTTTTTGCATGTGTTATGTGTAACCACTGAGATGTTATTTCTGACTAATGTAAGGAATTTCATTTTCGGTGTGAAGGTTGTGCTTAAAGGTCTGTTAAATACAGAAATACAGATACAAATTAATTGAGAAGGTCCTGCTGGCTAAAAAGCTCATTTTCAGGTAGTCCAATATATTCTTTGGTTTGTTCTCTTTAATGAAGAGAGTTGTTCTTTCCTGTGTCACTTACTTCTTTCCAAAAACCTGAACCATACAGGAGAGGTGGGCAGTACTGCTCTTCAGCCTCTTTCGATTATGCTGTAACTCGCTGATTCTTTTAAATTGGAACACTAAAGTCAGAAACTGCAACGTGAATCATTTGCTGGATCTGACAGGGGGTCAGAACTGCATACAGAAAGCAGTGATGGGTAAAGTTGCTGGATGGCAAGCTCTCTTCTTTGAACAAACCAGCTGAGTGTGTTACGAAAGCTGTCTCAATGTGGTCAGTAGCAGCAAGGGGAATGACCGGAGAAATGGTGACTAAAAGAATGATCTTTGTGCACAAAAGTTTGTTCTGGACATCATTGGTATCAGAGCTGCTGTAGGAAAACATTAGGTAGGAAAATGTGGTCATATTTAAAGTAGAGATTGGTTGTGAAATTCCAGAGACAGGACTAGCCCAAAATATTTATATAAATAGCTGATTATTTGGCTCTAATCATGTATTGTAGGCATTAGTGGAAATTTGTTTAAAAATAATCATGTTGTCATTTCTAGTCTTTCTGAAAAAGGCTACATGCGGCTATCATATTTTGGTAAATGGAGTTTTTTGTTCTAACGAGTCTTCTGCTTGTATTTCAGGTGCTATCATTTTTTCAGGGTTTGTTCACTTTCTATCATCAGGGATATGAACTTGCTAAAGACTTCAATCATTACAAAATGGCCCTGCAGATAAATATACAAAATGTAAGTTGAGATTAATATCTGTGCCTTTTCTAATTTTTTGAGTAAAATTGCACACTTAAGTTACTGTATGTACAGTATCTGTATTGCCGATACTTTCCTCGGTGTTAGTGCATTGCAACTGAACGTTGGGGATGTAGTGCCATCTCCTGGCTAACCGACCACATCACTGACCAAACGATGGCATAATTCCAGGAAGTTCTTCCTCATTTCTAATACTCTTCTATAAAACAAACACTACGCAAAAGGCTCCCACTCCTTGTTCCAGTTTTTTATAGAAGGAGTTTGCTATGGAGAGCTTAAAAACGAATGAAGTCTTTTAAAATATATATAACACTGGAGAAGTTGGAGGACAGGTAATGAAGGTTTAAAATCAAGTTTGTGATGGCCATGCCTGAGGGTCATTGTTTTATAGGGCTGTATTATCCATACTTAAGAAAAGGAGAGAACAACAGCTGGGCTTATCAGTTTGGGGTTTTTTTTGTATCTCTGACTGCAGCATGACTTGGACTGTCTGTTTGTCTTGAAGCAGCCCTTTGAGGCGAGAACATCTCTTGGTTTCAGGTGCAGAGCTGTATAAGGAGACATGATGTTAGCACCCGTGGTGTATTTGACAAAACAATGTGTTCCTTCAAGGGCAAACTAACCACAGCCCACCACTGGTTAGTGTACCCTCACACCAGTTCACCCAGTGTGATCTGCTCAGGACTGGGAGAGCAGGCAGCAAGGTGACAGGCTGAAGCAATGGGACTGACAGAGTCACTAGTCACATGGTCTGTTTGCTGCCCTGAGATTTGTTGAAGAACAAATCTCCCTCAGAGGAACTTGGATGTGCCAGAGGCCTGCTGGTAGGGAACAACCCCTGTACTGTGCTGCCAGAAAGCACTCCATGGTGGTATGTCTGGTCTGTTGACTTCTAAGGCCACTTGGAATTAAGACACAGAAACTGCTACTCAGAGGTTGCAATCTATTTTTAGACATGGCTTAACTGGCAGGCAGTAGCAGGGAGACAGAAAGGTGGAAGAGAGGATTGCTGTTGCTGTAATACATAGTGATACGATTCGTGATACCATCCCTTTAATTTTCTTCCCATGTGTTTAAGTCTCAGTTTTCCTCTTGAGCTGTTGTTTGGTTTGGATGGGGGAACTGAGTCGCAGTAACTTCATAAGCAGACTTCATGGCAGAAGTCAGTGCTTCTGGAGGAGATTTCAGGACAGACTGGCTGCTTCTGTGTGCTTAGCATAACAGAGTGAGAAACAGCACGGAACTGCAGTGGATAGAGAAGAGCTGATTGATGCGAGACAAGCTAGAAATGAAACGTGCGAGGGAAGCTGTGATACAGTTCTGAAGAGCTGGATTTCAGATTACAGATGGAAAAGAGCCGGTGAAGTGGTCTGGAGAAGAGATGACAGATAAGAAAGCAGGGTAGCCTCAGCAGCTGCATTTTCAGTTGACTGAATGGTATTATAGTGTGCCCTAGGAAATCCAAAAGAGATTGAGTATTGCAGTTCTAGTTTTATGAATAGAAAGAATGACCTGGATTTCAAAAAGCTGTGGAGAAAAAGGAGGCAAGGCTTAACAACTATCTGAGGTAAGAGGAGAATAGAAGGAAGCATCTGAAAGGATCGTGAGAGGACATGACACATTCTCCACTGTGTGTGAGGATGAACAAAATGTCCCAAAGAGAAAATAAACGAGGCATTGGTGGTGGTACAGCTGAGCTTCTGGCAGAACACTGGATTGACATGTTAGAAATTGAAGTGCAGAAGATTCAGTACAGAGAGCCTAGCTGGATGTGGAGAGTGATTTGAGAGTTGCCAGTATAGCTGTAATAAATGCTTTGCCTTTCATTCAGGTTGTCTTTACCTAGAGAATTATGCTGTGAATTTCTTCTACACACCCTGCCGCAGACACTGCTTTCCCCTCACTCCCTCCCCCCTCAAATAAAAGAAAAAAAGAGAAAAAAACCCACCCCAGCCTTGTAGCTGAAGCTCCAGTAAACTAGTTCTTTTGAGTCTTACTGTCTTGTAAAAATCCTGCATCTCCAACTAGATTCCCCCATGCTCCCAGGGCTCTTCTTGTTATCTCAGTTCTGTGCCTGACACTGTACAAGAATCCTTGCAATATTAACCGTGTTCTCCTACCCTGCAAGCAAACCTGGCCTACCCTGGGAAGAGAAGGTATGGTCACACTGGTGCAGCAGCTGTGGTCAACCCCTGGTTAAGCTCAGCCATGTCACAGCACAAAGGGAGACAGAAATTTTCTTGAGGCTTCTGCAGCCCATGGTGTTCTGTCCCACCATTTCCAGGTTGCATTTTGCACACTGGGCTTTCTGATGTACTGTACAGCTGAAACAAAGGTTCTGACAGGATCATTTCAAGCATCTAACCTCAGAGTGATCAGTGCTCAGACAGGAAGGTTTAGATGTGAGCGATCTGTTGGTTTTTTTGCCTTTGTCCTGAATACAACATGTGTTTTTTTTAATACAACTCTTCTAGGGAATTATGACAAGATGCTTAGAAAATTGCTTGGAGCCTCAGAAATGAGTTTATGTGCATGTTCTATCTCCAAAATTTGGAACAATATGTGACCTGAAATTGAGATGATGGAAATGGGGAGAGTTCAGAGTAGTTGGGCTTGGGTTTTTTTTTGCCTGGAGGTAAGAAAGCAAGGAATATCTTCAGATTTCCCCTATAGAATATATGGCTATGGGTGGCTGCATGGACTATATGCCCGTGAATAACAGATCGGGAATTTGCATGCACATATGGCAAGTCAGGAGCATAGTGTTAACTGTCTGTGTACGAGAATGGATGCTTGTTTATAATCATGATATATATGTCAGTGTATGCAGCTGTATGCTTCTCCTAGGGGAAGAAAAAATAGGTGAGGCAGCATTTTCAGAAGCTCATCCGTTTTCAGAAAATAAAGGTGCTCTCGAAAAACACAAGACACATAAGAATGCATCTGGAAGTATGTGCTTTCCTCAAAATACATGTGCCAGCTGGGGAAAATACCAGAGTGGGAATTAAATATATGTTTTCCAGTTTGTGCAATTTGGACAAGTGGGTATGTGAAGAAACTTGGGTATTACCATGATTGTTTTGGTTTTACTGTTTGCTCATTGGCCAGTTGCCAGTGTTTTTTTACACCAAAACGAAGAGTTTCTTGTGTCAGATGCGAGCTGCTCTGTTACTTTGTGTAGTCTTATTGTATAATTTGTGGATGGTATAGTTACTTTCTGATTGTTTTTACTAATATTCTACATTTCTCTTGCATCTACTTGCAAACTTTGGAATGAGTGACAGGAATAATAATCAACTGGACTTTTTTTTTCCCCCCACATGCTTCTGCTTGTGTGTGATCAAAACATTTGGCATGTGTGTAGTCTCAACATGTATACATTGTTGGTGACCTTCCTGTCACTTTTTTCTCAATAACCACAGAAAATCTTTTCCTTCCTGACAACTAGTAAGAATCTCATGAATCAAGCCAACATTTGTAGTAATTTTTTTTCTGAGGAAGGTTGAATATTCAAATCCAAAGTAATTTTTGCACTCAGTGTTTCACTTTTTTTTCTGAACAGGTCGGTACATTTTTTCAGAACTCTACTGAGGCAATCTTTGTGTGCTTCCCACAGTTACAACAACTAATGTCTAAACCACACCTTAATTTTGAAGAATATCAGAAAATTTGAAGAGTAAATCGTAGGATGTTAGGAGTTGGAAGGGACCTCTAGAGACCATCTAGTTCAACCCCCCTGGCAGTGCAGGATCTCCTGGGGTAGGTCACACAGGAACGCATCCAGGCAGGTTTTGGAAGTCTGCAGGGAAGGAGACTCCACAACCTCTCTGGGCAGCCTGTGCCAGGGCTCTGTCACCCTCACAGTAAAGAGGTTTCTCCTCATGTTGAGGTGGAACTTCCTATATTCTAGCTTATTATTCCTTATCCTGTTACTGGGCACCACTGTGAAGTGACTGGCACCACCCTCTTGACCCCTACTCCTGCAGTATTTATATACATGAATAAGGTCCCCTCTCAGCCTTCCCTTTTCAAGACTGAACAGCCCCAGTTCTCTCAGTCTTTCTTCATAGGAGAAATGTATATGGAAATTGTGTGCTGACCATCCTAAAATGGCTTGAATCGTTCTCTCATTTAATAAATAATTATTTCTGGTGGGTTGGCCCTGGCTGGATGCCAAGGTCCCACCAAAGTCTCTCTGTCACTCCCCTCCTCAGCTGGACAGGGGAGAGGAAATACAATGACAAGTTTGTGGGTTGAGATCACTCACCAGTTACCATCATGGGCAAAACAGACTGACTTGGGAAAAAAAGCTTAATTTGTTACCTTTCAAATCAGAGTAGGATAATGAGAAATAAAAATTTAATCTTAAAATTATTTTCCCCCTGCCCCTCTCTTCTTTGCTGTCTCAGCTCTGCTTGTGATTTCTCTATCATCTTCCTCGCAGTGGAATCGGAAATGAGGCTTGCAGTCAGTTCATTACATGTTTCTGCTGCTCCTTCTTCCTCAAGGACAGGACTTTTCATGCTCTTCCCCTGCTCCAGCGTGGGGTTCTTCCTACAGGCGACAGTTCTCGATGAACTTCACCAACATGAGTCCTTCCCATGGGCTTCTGCTCTTCATGAACTGTTCCAGCACGGGTCCCTGCCGCAGGGTGCACTCCATCAGGAGCAGACTGCTCCAGCGTGGGTCCCTTGGGTCCTGCCAGTAAACCTGCTCTGGTGTGGACTTCCCTCCTCATGGGTCTGCTGGTTCTGCCAGGAGCCTCCTCCAGTGTGGGCTGCGGGGGAATCTCTGCTCCGGTGCCTGGAGCACCTCCTCCTCCTTCTTCTTCACTGACATTAATATCTGCAGAGTTGTTTCTCTCACATATTCTGACTCCTCTCTCTGGCTGCATTTTCCTCCCCTTTCTTAAATCTACCACCATGACTGATGTGCTCTGCCTTGGCCAGCAGTGGGTTTGTCGTGAAGCTGGCTGGTATTAGCTCTATCAGACATAAGGGAAACTTCTAACAACTTCTCACAAAGGCCACCCCTGTAGCACCCCCGCTACCAAACCCTCACCACACAGACCCTATACCCTATTATAACTCCTCTTTTCCAGGAAGAGTAAGTCTCTTCCACTGTATCTACTAACGGGTTCTTGCTGTCTTGTTTTAGACACGAAATCGTTTCGAAGGAACAAGGTCAGAAGTAGAGGAGCTCATGAACAAGAGCAGAAGAAATCCTCAGGAACACAAAAGAGCAAATCACTTTACAATGGAAGGCTATCTCTATGTACAGGAAAAAAGTAAGGTGCATTTCTGTATTCCTATAGTGCCCATATTGTGCATATGGACAAGTCTTTATTTCTACAGATGACATGAAGATGCAAATAATACAAGTTCATTCAATAGAGTCATCTGAGTAAACGTTCAAAGTCTCTAGTGGCACTGTTACCACGGTTCATAAAAAGAGCATGGTGCTGAAAGTGTGACAGTTCTTAGCAGAGGTGACTGAATTTGGGGATTTTATTTGGCCAAAGGATGTATTTCATGTTATTTTAAATCACTTACTAATGACCTCCTCTAGAACTGTCAAACATCGGTTGTCAGACAACAGCGTGAGTTGTGAAATCAGCCTCTGAAAATTGGGTTGGTTTATTATTATGAAAGTGACTGCATTTATTTGGTTCAGTGATATGCTTTCATTACCCAATTGTGATCACAGGGTCAAATAAAGCAGACTATATGATGAGTAGCTGGTGTTGAAAATCTTGCTGTACAGGTGTGTACCGTACAGATGATACCCTGTCAATACTTTGAACAATTATAAATCTTTATCACTCTAGGAAAAAAGCTGAATAAGATGCAGAGCTCTTACTGCTCAAGGGATGACCACATTTCTTTTTTTTTTAAAAAATAATTTGTATAAATCATGTTTTAGATGTGTGCCCTTATAGAAAGCTTGATTGCTTATTTTGATCAGAGATTTTACTTTTCTGATGTCTAAATGATTATTGTTCCATAAAACATTTCTCAAATTGAAGACTCTACAACATCCTTAATGGAAACATTGGTATTACAGTGTTCAGAAATAAGTTTTAAGAGAACCAGCAGTAAAAGTAAAAAAAAACCCCAAACTTACTTTGCAAGATCAGTTCACTGGCCTTGGTGATCATGAGCTTTAGGATCAGCCTGAAGGAATCTGAGTTTTAACAGTTGGCATTAGAGTGCAAATTTCAGTAATACTTCATGCAGTAGGCTGGACTCTTAAGTATGTGTATTCTAAGTAGGGTGCACTGATGAATAGCTAGGAGTAAGTTTTGGTGACAGAAAATGTGACCAGACATTGATTAGTAGATAAAGTAGAGCTTGTAACACAAGTAAAACTAGGTTTCCTTGTTCTGCTTAAATAAAGATTCCAAGGGATATTTCTTTTATAGGGGAAAATTGTTTTGTCTGTAGTAGTGAGACAAAGATATGTTAGTAATTCTTTCTATTTCTCATTAAGCATAAATGTGAAATACTACATGTATCGTTTTTTTGGACTAGTAAGCATGCTTAACATTTATATTACTTTGTATAACGTTCTTAATTCATACCTTTATTTTAAATACTGCATTGTTACGAATTAAGTAGGACTCTTAAGTATCATTTTGGAGAGTGGGAGAAGAAAACATAGGCTGGAAAAAGAGCATAGTATTTAATGCTTCCATTTTATGTAGGGCCTGCTCCCTTTGGTTCCAGCTGGGTGAAGCACTATTGCACGTATAGGAAAGAGACAAAAAAGTTTGCCATGATTCCATTTGAACACAGATCAGGAGGGAAAGTTGTAAGTATATTTTTGAATTCGGCTCTTATACTTGCCCTGTATCAAGATCAGAGGATGTGTTGGAAAAGATGTGCCAAGTGCTTTCCTTCTCTACCTTCTTGCCCTCTTCTTTCTTCATGCCAATCAGTCTGATGTTTAACGACATTAACCTAAAGTAATAGATGAATTAATAGATAAGAATTCTGCAGACTTTTCAGTTTTTTGCTTTTGGAAGACCAGAGAAAACAGTACAGATAACATGTAGCATTTCACCATTTATAATCTAGTTTATCCATTAGGCATTTAAATTGTTAAAGTAAAAATCAGGAAAATATAATAGACTTAGAAATTTCTTTCTTATGTGCTCCAGTCAGATTTTTCTTTCAGAGATGTAAGTACTAGAAGAGGAATTAGAAAAGAAGATTTTAATAGGAATATAATTTGTACTGACAACTGAATGTAATTTCAGCTATCTTTGATAGCATCTGAAATATTCAGGACCTAAGACTCTGTTGATCTTTAAATGTCTTTAATTCGAGTTGAAATAGTTGGGAATTGAGGGCACTCAGCACCTTCAGAGATGGTGCATTAAATGAATGCATTAATATGGATGAAATGCATTTGTTGCCAGGAAAAAGCGAAGCTGGGAAATAATGTTTGAGTCAATATTCGTGTAAATGCAGCACCCTGACCTATCCTCAAATTTGGTTAGAAAATCATGTTGTTGATCAGGGTGTTATATCCCATTAGTCTGAGAAGAGGGGAGATGGCTTTCATCATTTTGTGGAGGATGTATATTTACAAATATATTCAATTTAGAAGAATCTTTCAAAAGCTTTGAAAAACCTGCAATGCTGAAAATCTGTGGCATTTGGCTTCCCTAATAGTTTCGAAACTTCTGTGAATTTTTTATTCTGATTTACTCTAATTGTAATAAGCCTTTTTAGTTAATACAGTATATGTGTAATTCTGAAACACTTATGAAGCCATTTTTGCCGTATTAGATCTCCCATTTTGAAACCCACAAAGCAATTCCTCCTTCAGTGACGACCTCTGGTTTCTGGAGATCTTGAATAAGACAAGTTAAAATGTACGGTTAACTCTGATTAAATCTGGTACAACTTATGCCACATTCACAGACCAGTTTATTTGATTTCTCAATACTTAAGGGTAAAATATGATCCTTGTGGCAGTTGGTTTTGAATAACAGACTGGTTCTGTAACACGAATTGCAGGTAGTAAAGAATGCTTTGTTCTAGTTACTGTAGCAATAGCCTTTGCTGCCGCTGACATAAGATGGGAGAAGTCTCTTAACGCTCCTTTTGTGCTTATATTGTAACGTGCAAAATCTTTACAGCAAATTATTTTTGTTAGTTTAAATTACTGTGGTACTATGTCACACTGTAAAGTACCATCTAAAATGAACATGATATTTCTGCATTTGTAAATGACCATGGAATTCACAGTGCAGAGACCTGAATGGCAACCATGAGTGAATTGTTTTGCAGGTGTGAGTTTTCAGTATAGCTTTTGCCATTATTTTAATGCAAGTTTACCTTAGTTGGTTTGCATAGCTGGCTAACTAAAGCTTTCAGTTACTGGGTGAAGCATATAAAAGCTTTCTTTTTGCAGGGTGACGAGGAACTCTTCGTCCTTACGTATTGCACCAAGAGAAATACAGATACTATTGACAGGCGATTCTGTTTTGACTTAGAGGCTTCAGACAGGTAAGCTCATAAAACAAGCTAGAAAAGGCTCTTTCTAAGTGGTAGTTAATGTTACTGTAATATTATTAGTTTGATTTCTTCTTTTTTCAATGCTCACTCAGACTACCAATGAAAATAGTCGTTGGAGAAGCAGGCAAGCACTGCCATGGCTCACTGGATTTTGCCTCAGTTGTGTATAGCAGAAGCAGGGAAGTTCTAAACTGAAATGTAGATGTAGTCTGAGCTCACATAGAAGCATAGAAAAACTCAGAAATTATTATGAATTGGTGTTATCATAGTGAAGAAACATGACTAAAATGAAAGTACATACAGCCACAGTGAAAAGCTACAGGCACAGTAATAATTCATACAGTCATGATGACATTGCATCACAACCCTGCTTTTCTAAATTACATGCTGCTCAGGTTATATGCTGGATTCTCAGATTGAAAATAAGACCATCGGGATTTTGAGGCTCTTTGTGGCTGGTGTAATCATCCAGTGCATCTTAAACATTGCTGCCACTGCATTTTTGAAACAGCACCATTTGGTTGCTTTATTTCAAAGGAAAATAATCGCTTATTTATTTTGCTAAAGGATCTTAGAATATGATAAATATTACTTGTTTGTCAGCACTGTAGTCTTCATTTATGAAGGTGAGAGAATCCAGCTCAACAGAGTACTGCAAATAAATAGGACTGTGGTAAAGCCATGTTCTTTTGGTGCAGATCGTATCTTTGCAGAACAGAGTCGTATCTAGCATTAAATGCTAGGTATAAATTAGTGGACCATTACTGAGTTTTTACATCCTCCTCTTCTGAGCTGGTTTTAGCCAAAGCATTTGCTCCTTACTTATATCAATCAATTACATTCTAATTTATCATGGGGTACGTCTGCAAGTTCTATAGGTTTTTCATTTCTTTTCCCATCAAATTCATAGTTTCATAGCTTCACTTTAAATGCAGCATGGCCAATGCTGTCAGGCCCCTTCGCACCGTGACTGCTGGTGGTTTGCAAACATGTCTGCGATACGGACCACATGTGTGTCTTTGGTTGGAGGCTGCGCCTGCCTTGCGTGGCTGGACTGGCCTGCCTGACCATGAAGCTACCACTGCATCTGAAAACTTCCAGCTCACGTGGCAGATGACAAGATACTCATTTACAGCTCAGGTGGCATTTGTCACAGGTCAACAGCATAGTTCGAGCTTACATTTTTGATTTGAGGAGGATGTGGCTTAACTACTGTGTGTCCCAACAGCAGGAAAGGGAGAAAAGATTTAAACTCTTGATATCAGCTCCTCTTGAGTCAGTATATCTGTCAGCATGAAAAACAGATTTCAAACTCAGTCTGATAAAGTTGCTGAGAAAGTATGGCGAGGAGTGTCAGTGTGCCTCCCTCTGCGTGTCATCTCTGCTCAGTAGGGTAGCAGGAGTTTGAACAGAGATGGATGGAGAGCAATGTTTCCTTGACCCTGCAAAACTTCTTTTCATTCACTTCTCTGGCAAAAGTAGGAAAAATCTAATCCATCTTTCTGTCCAGTTATAATAGACACAACTGGCCCACTGTGACCTTAATATCAGACATTTTTCTTTTAATAATGTATGTGTGTGGTGCTGAGATGTTCCCATGGAGATTAGTTCTGTGCTGCAGGCCATTAGCTTGTTTCCTTGGTATCGGTTCAGGGCACACATAGCCCTTGGCTTGCCCAAGTTAAAAAAAACCCAAACCATACGGATTGTCGGCTTGCCATGGGGTTTTCTTTGTTCCTGTGCTGTGGAAGGAGGCAAGATTGTAAAGTTTTAGGACTTTTCAGTAGCAAGTGTTCAGTCTTGTGTGTGCCTTGAGCATAGTTTGGAGCTAGCTGAATATTTACGGATTTCTGTTTTTAAGAGAAAGCTGAGGTGATTCTTTCTTCATTAAATTCTGATACTTTTCACTATAAGCTCTGAGGGTGCTAGGACCCTGGCTAAATCTCTGGAAATTAGTATTTTTTCTGTTTCTAGTACTCGTTCGTGTTTAGTTGGAGGTGACTAGTGGTAAATGTAGAGAATTTTAAATCTTAAGGAGACAACAGTGGTATTTTGGGGTAGGAAGAAGATTTTCTATTGATCAAGAGTGTTTTCCTTCTGAAATACTACTTAGATTTTAATTTTACCAATACAGGTCAAGGAGGAGGGAAGGCTTTGTCTCCTTTACCTTTAATTTAAAGGTAAATAAATGGTTTTAGGCAGTATGTACTGAGTATGATATATTGCTTTGAGGTGATACTCTTTGATACCGTGACAGTTATAATTGTAGTGAAGAGAAGGGAAGTTTGCCCTGCATAAAAGTAAATTACTTGATTTTAGTTGTAACTAATAAAACGAAGTAAAGAAAAAAACCAAATCCCCATGTGTTTTGTTTTTTTCCCCCAGTTAATTTAGCTAGTAACTTAGGATATTTTTTTTCTACCAAGTTTGCATGTCTGTGATGGTTGCAGCTCTGTACTACTGGCAGGCCAGTTTGTACTTTAATCAAAAGGGAATGACTTGATTGCTGTCATTGTCAGAAACTGTAGTCAGGTGTCCTGAGTTTAGATGGGTTTGCTAGAGCGTGTGTGCATGTCTTGTCCTCACGTGTGGTCTGAAAAGAGATTTTTAGCCAGGCATATTTGTACCTACAGAGTTTTATGCTGCAATTAAATTGTGGTTTGACAAAATGGCAAGGTGAAAATGAGCTAGAAATTACTCTAGCTTTAAAAATGTGGACATGGTGTGTACACTGTTACAGTTTTTAGTAAAAGTGGGATTTGTGCTGTTTTTCTTGGTGCTGTTGTTTTTAGATAATATTTTCCCCTGCTATTTTGCTGCTTGAGGATAGATTTAATCCAAAAGAGAGAGAGAACGCTATGAATTAGTTCTCTACTTCTATCTATCTGTATATAAAGGGATCTAGAAGTTTCACAAAGTATTGTGAGGCTCAAGGTAATGAGTTTGGTTTCTTTAATTGGCAGAAAAATAATTACCCAAATAACCTATTCTGCTTTTAACTCTCCTTGCTTTGTACATTATGCTGAGTGACACAATTACTCTTTTTAGTTTCCTATTAAATAAACACAAAAGCAGATGTATGTCAATCTCGATTACTAATCCCTACGTCCCACAGTTGTCCATACTTGCTTTTTAGGAAAGTGCTGACAGTGGTGTTTTGTAATGAGATACTGCATTATTACTTGATTATTTTTTATAAGATATTTACTGGAAAACTATAATCATCTTCAGCTTCAGAGGTAGCAACAACTACACATTGAATAAGTTGACAAAAGCCGGTTTTTATGTAACAACACAGCAACGTGAGAGCAAATTTATTTAATGTTCAGAAAACTCAGAAACTCCCAGCAAGTGCTGGAATCAAGAAGCTATCAGCAGTGAAGTATTTAAAAATAAATAGTTTGCAGATTACATTAATTTTCCTTTTTCTTCCCTGTCCTTGGTATTTCCTACTGTCTGTATCAGTTCTGTACCTTTTATTTAATAATTAACAGTGTTTAGTGATTAAGCAAAAAATGCAACCCTGACTTTTAGGACAATGGGCTTTTGCTCATAGTTGGAAGTAGAATTTTACAAGACTTTTTTGGTTGCTGTTGAATGCAGTTACTCTCTGTCATTGATACACTTGCAGGCCTGGAGTTCCTGTGACCATGCAGGCATTTTCAGAGGAAGACAGGAAGCTGTGGATGGAAGCTTTGGATGGAAAAGAAGCTGTAAGTATAATTTTAATAAATATTGATTTGTAGCGTAATGGAGACATTCTGTCAACCTCTGCTTCCCCATCCCATTTGTACTTTAATAAACTGGGATTATGTAGTTTGTGAAATGATAGATTCAGTGAAAAAAGAATGAAAGTGAACTAAAACTCCAGGGAGATGAGTAACTCGGTAAAGCTCAGTGCAGATAACTGAGCATGCCAATATGAGATATTTTTCATTGTAATGACAGCATCAATTTTTATAAAAGGTTTCCCATCACAGTGATGATAGTGGTGTACTAGAAAATGGCTTGTTTAAGCATGTCCACTTAACCTTATACTTACATGCTGCATTCCAGTGAGAAGACTTGCGTGAGTTAGTTATGTGGTATTATTATTATATCTTTTTTTAAAACTAGGTCCAAAAAATCCTTGTCAATGGGAACGAGGTTGTACTTGAATTTGTTCATTTCTGGTTCACATCAAGAAATGGGTCTGAGCTGGAAAATTGAAGCACACTGTTGATTATTCTTACAATCATAAATTTTATATTGGTCTTGTGGGCCAAAAATAATGGTTTTTTTTAGTCAATGACACAGTCATGTGTCTGTCCCCAGTAGCTGGCTACTGGGGGATTTTAACAGTAGGTTTTACTGACAACACCACGGTACAAATCTGGTTTCATCTACAGAAGTGTTTATTACCATCACGTGTTGTCTGATCTCCCCTCCCCAGTAAGCTTTACAGCTTTTAGGGGTGCCAATCTGGGACACAACTCACAGGATTCATCAAAGCAGTTCACAATGATTTGAGTGAACTTGAACTGTGGGAAATTAACCTGCAGAGAAATGTAGGAATGTAGAGGACATTAATCCCAGTGGCTATAACTAACGTTGTTCTGTTCCCCAAGGAACTGTATTTCTTGAGAGGTTTTTTTAAAATTTCCCTCCTTAAAAAGTGCAATTATCTACTTTCTGAGAGGGCACGGACCTCTGGTCCTACTGTTAGAGCTCTTGTAGATAGAGGTGATATGTTCTAGCAGTAAACAGCTGTATTTGTGCCTACTGGACATTAAGATTGTGGGTGTCTTGTTTCTAGTTTCATAAAATTCTTTAAAGTAATTTATATTTTTTTACTTTTTTTGTGTTAGCTGTTCATCAACCTGAATAAAGCAAATGCAAAACGAGAGGGAAGTAAGTATCTGAATTACTATTAAAGCTGATTTCTGTTATTTTACAAGTGAGAAAGGCAAAGATAAATATTCTGTGAATCCAGCGTAACTAAATATTTTTAATCTCGAGTTCTGAATATGTTTTCTGGCTTTTGTAATTAATGGGTGTTCACAGTAACACAGTTTAGTACGTATGTAAGAACTGTAGGACTAGACATAAGCTAGAGAAACAGTCTGATTGTGCCAATTTACATCATGCTTGAAATTGATTCAAAAAAGGGTATATAAATGCATCACGATTTCTTGATCCAGATTGTGTGTACACCTCTGTTAGAATCCTTAAGTATGATTTCAAAAGCAATCGCAGTTGAACATAAAGGTCAGCAAAAAACCGGAATGCATATATTTAAAATGTAAAGTGTAAAATATGGAAACAGAAGAGGTGGCTTTTTTTAAACAATGTTAGCTGTCTTCTGGTAGCAAAGTATGTGAGTGAAAACCATTCCTTCTTGCTTTATCAGGCAATTTATGCTTGCTGCTATTTTTTTTAATTAAGTTGTGGTTTAAAGCTGGATCCTGCTAATAAAAGTTTTTCCACAGATTTTTATTTTTGTGGTGCAAGACCAGATTCTCAGAATGAGCAAGAAGGCCATATGCTTGGGGGAAGGGCAGTTTTGCAATATAAGCTTTTAAGTGAAGTTTTTGATGTTAATAAAAAGAATAAGATAGGAACAACCAAGGAGTGCTGGATCTCAGCTGTTGTCCTGTTAATGCCTCTGCTTTTATATAGTCAGTTCATTAACTGCTGTGGAATGATATAAATGTGCCCTGTATCTTTAGTGTGGGAATTTCTTTGGCTTAGGGTAGGACTCAGTCAAAGCCCTGCTGTTGGTGATTATGTTTTTTCATCCTAAGTACTTCCTTGTCCCATTTGGTTAACTCTCTCAGATGTTGTTGATGTTGCAGTAAGTACTGTTAAATTCCATTTTGCCTCTGCCAACATATGTACCTAATCAGAGGTCCCATTCTTCAAAGGCTGCTGCTGTGAACAGATTCAGTGAAGCCACTACCACCAGAATGAGCCATTACTTGGGCTAGACAGGGTTATAAAGGAGAAAAAGGGAATTTCTCTGCAGTAAGTGATTAAATATTCCTGTTCCAGAGTATTCAGTTTTGCCTGAGAAGTGTGAGCTATGTAATTAAGTCTAGCCTTATTTTCCAGTGAAAGACAGGATTGTAATGGTGCTTAAAAAAAATTCAAACTATTTTTTTTTCCTTATAGGTGCACAGTTGGATAAGATAGGGTTCACCGTCATCAAAAAGTGCATCAGTGCTGTTGAAACACGAGGTAATGGTGAACCCAACCTGTTTGTGGGGAGAGGTAGAGCAGCTGATCTGCTCTTTGAAAGCTCATGTAATCTAGTCTCCTGTCGATCTTTGGGAAAGACTTAATTTGGTAGATATTACACTAATTGCACTCATCAGAGCAGGAGCTTCACTCTATCCAGTCTCAACTTTTTATGTATGGCTTTCCCTCAAGAAACGTGTTTCCAAGAAGTGCTTAAAAGGGTTAATAGCACCTGTCTTGACAAAGGAACCCAATGTTTGTGCACAACATCTGAGCAAAACCCCTTCATCTTCTAGACAGTCCCATACCTTGTCTTTGCTGTTGGAACTGATCGATTTTGGTATTCCATTGGTGAACTTTGAACAGTTTTTCTCTTAAGTCACTGAAGACAGAAGAATGGGAACTAAGCAAACCAGAAACCAGTGAATAACAAATAGTATCGAAGTACTGGTGGAGTTAATCTCACACCGGAGACGAGGATGCTGTTGCCCTTACTGTTTCTTATACTTGTTGTATCTCCAGAACTGGAGATAGAAGAGAGAGGTCAGTATGCAGAGGCAGCTTGGATTATGGTTGCGGAAAGGCTCTGTGTCACAGAACCTATGTAGTTTGGGTGATGGATAATAGCAGCTTTTGATCTTGCTGCTGCCAAGTAGGCAACAGTCCTTGTATGGCCGTGCTGAGATGTGCAGTAACCAGCCACTCTGAGGCTCACTGGGTTGTATATGGCATTGTGTGGAGAACCTGCTTGTTTGGTTGGGCCTTTTTTTAAAAAAAAGAGGTGTTTTCACTTGCTATCCAATATTATTAGTTAGACCAAGCAGCCTTTGTGATGCTGTTTAAATGCTAAATTCTCAGTAAGAAGTATCTGAAATCCTTTTTCTCTTGGACTTTTTTGTATCAGTTCTCTCCAGTACATTAAAGATGTTATTCCAGATTAGACCATGTTATATCTGCTGTTATTTTTGTTCATTCTGTTCTTTTGAATATTTTTCAAATGAGATTTGCCTGTCTCATCAGTTAAAAAAATTCAATTACTGGCATTTACAATCTGAATATTTCAACTGAGAAACACTGCAGATAAAGCTGGCATCCTACAGATAAGTTATCTTCACTGCAAACCGCTGCTTCAATACAGAATGAATTTTCTCTTTCCACTGGATTATGCAGAGTTATGAAAAGGGTAGTATGTGGTCATGTAATGAAAGGCTGCTTTTGGTCTACAGCAGAGTGACTGATACCTTGTGAATTATGCTTACTGTAAGCAGTGTGGAGTACACTGTGTTTTGTTTTATTATCTGTAGATACATTCAAATAATTCCTTCAAATAGTCTTTTTTTTCTTTCTTTGATACCCTGCAAGGAAAATGCGACAAGAACCTAACTGCAGAAAAAAGTGAAGACTTCCTTTGTGAAGTGGCTATTTCGAAAAATAGGTTAGATACAGGGTTTCTTCTCAGGGGTGTGGCTACCCACTTTAAATTGAATAGTGGTTGAACGCCACTGTTCTTTATGCCTTGATTTAGGGATATGTAAGAAGATGGAAAATACATGTGTAACCCCACTTAATATTGTTGTTCAAGCCAGATGATAAGCTTGCATAGATTAGAAACATGTATCCCCATAGTCGGATGTGCCCTGAAGCACACTTGGAAGAGAATTAAAGTTACCAAAGTTAGCTGTGGTATTTCCTGCCTTTGGAGACCTTGCAGCTTCGCTATCCCATAGAATCATAGAAACATTAAGGTTGGAAAACGTACACAGCCTTTGTAAAACCTGCGATCAGCAGAGGGCTTCATGGTGATTACTGCCAATGAAAATGACTTTTATCAATTAATTTTGTTTGGGGAAGTACTTAAGAAAAATCAGTATTTGACAAATATTTCTTTTCCCGTGGTTTCAAGCATAGGTTTAGGTGAGGTAATCCACCTGTTACAATGAACTTGGTTTGTCTACTGTGTTTCAAGCAGTTGTGGATGATTCTTTGTTTATTGTTACTGAACTTAACATCAACTGCATTTAAAAAAAAAAAAGGCCTAACAAAATAAATCGTGACTTGCTCTGTGAGACTAACTGGAGCATTCTCAAAGGATCAGTTTCTTTTTCTGCAGAACCTTCTGCTGATGTCTGCTGACCTAAACAGACAAAGGGCCAGGAGAACATTATTATTTGCCTCAGAAGGATTTGGCCAAATAGTTTGTAGGATGAAGAAAGTGCATCTTGCAGGCTGCGGATTTTATACCTATACTTGTTCTTTAAATGATTTTTACTTGATTATTTTACTTTAATGATAACACATCAAAGGCAAGTTATGTTCAGCAGAAGAAAACAGGACAGATGCCTCTTCAGAGACTGTGCTCGTGTGCCATGTTTTTATCTCTTCTAATCATAATGGGTGTGAGGTTGACGTGGGTGGAAAGAGAGGACAGTCTAGTGTGGGTGGAAACTGAGAATAGTCTTGTCATGTCATAGCAGAAAAAGTCTGGTATTCAGAGAGAGAAGAGCATAACAGAGATATTGAACATAAACTTGTCAATGGCTGGATAATTTTTTTCTCAGTTACATTCCGTTTTATAAAGCCAAGAAGGAAATTATTTGCTCTGAATGAATAGAAGAATCGAAGGCAGCGTCATGGTTAAAATGCACGTAAGCTTCTGAGTCAGCATTGCCTTTTAAGACATTGGCTTTGCTTTACCCGGTAGGTAAATGCCAATGTGCTTTACTAGGCATCAAGATGTGCAACTTGTCTCTCACGTTCTGAGCACAATGCTTGCTGGATGTGCACCCATGTTTTGTCTCTAAGAGAACATTTTGGGATTCTGTTTGGAGAATCTTTTTTGTAGTCCTGTACTGAGAGGGATACTACGGGGTAAAAGTTTATAAAACATCCATGAGTTGTTTGCTTTGTTAGTTAAAGGCTCTGTGCATGCTTTTGTGTACAAGTAGTTGGTTGTACCTTCTGTGAGGGGTGGGGTAGGTGTTTGCCGAAGCATCGTTTATTTTGTTTTCAGAAGGACCAGAGCTGCTAATCTGCGCTGCAGAGAGAGATGGCAGCATTGAGCTGTCTGTCCAGTCTGTCTCCTCCTGAAAAAGATGATGGGTGAAGAGGAAGTAGAGAAAACCTTTTCACATAACAACAAGAAAATCTGGCATTACCTTGCATTTAGAGTGTCACTTGTATGGCTGTTTCTGTTCTATGGAGTTTGGTAGAAAAAGCTGCGTTTGCAGCGAGGTTACTAGTCTGTGTCAGCCACGTGTACGATGCCAGCCACAAAGTAAACTTGCCTACCTACCTTACTTACAATACTATAAATTCCTATTTGACTTGCAATACCTTATTTTTTGAAGCGTGTTTAACAAATTGTGTACCTGGGCCGAATTCCGGTATTCGACAGCCAAATGTCTTGTGATAATGTAAATATGAAGGAAATCGTGCTGTGGGGCTTTACCGCTCAAAGTTGCCAATAGTGACTGGTTGAGCTGGCAGACACAGCGTCTGAACCCTTCAGCGTTTTAGTCCGTGGTAGCTGTTCCTTGCAATGAGTCATCTTGTCAATTGTGTTCTGTAAATGCCAAGCCTTATCAGTTTTGGATGCGTGGAAGATCTGAAATGTGCAGATGAAATCAGAAATAGTACTATTTCAAATCAGGCTTGTATATTATAAATAAAAACTCATTTAAAGGTATGTTTAAAGGTATCATTTAGAACTATGCTGAAATATTAATTCCCCATTTGCACTTCTTGATGTCTGCTAGCAATTAGCTGTGCCTTTTTCAGGTTGATGAATTTGAAACTGATCAATTATCTGATAATTACTATCACAGACTCATGGTTATTGCTGGAGGATTGTCTTAGTTCCAATACTGCCATAATTTTAAAGACTTCGGCATATCACATCTGTTGTAATATTAAGCAGTAGGTTCTGCGGTTTGACCTTAGTTATTTTTAAGCTGATAAATGTATGTTTAGGGTCAGCACAGTTTGGTTCCCCCTAGTTTTAATGTTAGAAGCACAGGAAGACATGAAACAACTTCTGAGATAAGCAAAACCTGAGCTGGGTTTGACTGTGACAGTATTTCTTCAGCTTTTTGGCTTCTTGCATATGATGCAGAAGGCTTGTTCTGTGGTACTAAATGTAGTGGAGGACATTGGATAAAAAAAGGTGTGACGCATTTTGGCAGAGCATTAAAAAGCTCGGTGTTACTTTTGTACCAGAATTTTCCTGGACACCGCTAAGAAATTTGACGTGAAAAATCATTGCAGTTCTCAGGACAGATTCCTAGTGCATCCTGGTTTGGAGTGGATCAAGGACAGTGTTTGGTTGGGTTTTTTGGAGTGTTGGCAGACTAAGTGATATGTAGCGTGTTATCGCACTGTTTTCTGGGGATTGTTGGAAAACTTACTTGATTGGGTTTATAACTTTGTATTTTGAGAATAATAGTATTGTGGCTACCTAGCTGTTTTTTGTGGTTCTTTCTTTTCTGTGCGAAAAGAAGACTGACCATACTGTAGAATTGTGGTTTTTTGATGACCACAGATGAAATACCGGAGATCTGGCTCATGCTGTCAATTTGAGCCAGCTCTGAACATGACATCTAGCTTAAGACTTGGCATTGTTACCTTGGTGCCTGCATCCCTGGGAAAGGGCTAATTTTGCCTGGGTGGAACAACTGAGGGAAAAAGCAGCTGCTACTCTAAACCGTCAATTCCCTGCTGGGACAGAGACTGGAGCCGTGCTAACAGGGAGGAGTTCAGCAGATCTGGAGCACCCGATTGAGGCTGCAGACTCTATGAGGAAGAGGAGGAGATGAGAGAAGAAGGAAAAGATGTAGCAGGTCTAGGGGGAGGAGGAGGATGTAGAAAATGCAAAGTTCTCTCCACCATATTGAAAATTACTGCTATGTATTATGGTTGTGTCTGACAGTAATTCATTAAAAGGCTAATGATTTTTACATACTTCATCTCGTATTTATTTGGGAAGAAACTTCTTCTCATATGACTGCTTTTAATTTCCCTTCTCTGAGTTGGAAAGGTTTGGTATTGAAACTAGGAATTCTCCACAAGTCTTCCTTTGTTGAAGGATGTTTTGAATAAGAATACCACATAATATGTTATTTGAAAAGATTTCCTTGGAGTAGAAACACGGTATTTTGTGGCCTTTCTACTCTTCCAGGCCAATATGAATATAGAGATACAGTACAGTGGTGTTTGTAGGTGGCTGCTTATTATGTGGCCTTTCAAATATCTGTGTCAACTTCAAGACTGTAGTATTTTATCTCCCACTATATGAGCTCTGAAACAATGCAGCAAAGACATACCTTATTTTGCCCTTTTCCTTCCGTGCCCTGTCTCTCCCTCCCATTTTCCTTCAATTTATATCCATAGTTTTACTTCCCTGTGGATAAAACTGGATATGGTGAAGGAAGGGAAAAGCAGAGGGAAAAAAGAGGCAGAGAAGTGAATGCAGGTGAGAGGACAGAGAGGCACAGAAGAATGGCAGGAAAGTGGACCCGTGTCCATGTGAAATGAGAGTAGGGGACTGAAAATATTTTGCTGGTTACGGCCGCTCTATTCATCCCAAGCAAAACCAGAAGTACAGATGTCAGTAACCTGTGGTGGTGCCTCTGGATGGAACTAGCATGTGGACCACAGCGGGTTGGAATGAGGCCTCATATCTTAAATGAAAAGCGTTTATAAACTTGAAAAAGTGTTGGTTTGGAGGACTGGGAATAGGCTCAAGTTTTTCTTTTATTTTATCCAAACTCTCTTTGTCAGTCATGTATTTGGAAAAAAGCAAAATTACATTTATTAAAGAAACCTTAATTTAGCCATTTGTTGGTTCAGTTCTTGCGTTATTAGAATGTGGATGCTGATGTATCCAAAATGTCATTTAAAAAAATCTGAAAAGAGGCAGTTCTGTCTGTTTGTCAGGTTTGTCCCCGATTGCTTTTACTCACAGTTTCTGAAGTGGAATTTAGATGCATGACGCCTTTATCAAAACAACATAAATTTATCTTTAAAACACAGAAGAACAAAAGGATTCTTGCAATACTTTATTTATAATGTTGTTAACATGACTGTGTTAATACTATGTAGTCTGTCTGTCTTTGAGGAGAATTTGTTGCCTGGGGAAAAGTTTTAATGCTAAATTTGACTATGGTTGATCTTCTGCCTTTTTTTTTTTTTTGTCTTTCTGCATAATAGGTATAAATGACCAAGGATTGTACAGAGTTGTGGGGGTGAGTTCAAAGGTCCAGAGACTTCTGAGTTTGTTGATGGGTATGCCTCTCTTTTACAATAATTTTTCAAGTTTTTATTTCATGTTATTTTACTGTCATTACTTAGTTTTGAAAGCAGTAGCTGTTCTTTATATAGGCCAAATCTAGTTTGCTTTAGTCCATGCAAATAATCCCCACTGTAAATTGCCCTGGGTTAACAAAACCAAGGTTAGTTGGTGGGAATAAACTAAGAGAACTGCTTTGGGACATGTAGGAGTTATTCACGGGTTTTGTGCAAAGTTGATGTAAGTGGGATTAAGTCATCCTAAATTGAAGGCTCTCGTCAGAAAACTCAAAATATCAAATTCAAGAACGTTTGCAGTTTATTGCTTCGTTATTTGAAGTTTCCAACTTTCTTCACCCTAATCTTAAATTGTAAAGATGTACATGCCTGTACACATCTTTATCACTGTGCAAAATAAGTCATTTAGTTTAAACATACTGGCAAAGAGCTCTTTGGCTTAAGAGGAGGAATATGGTATATGTATTAATAATAATTATGTGCCAAGGTGGGAGACAGATGGAGAAAGGCTTTGTTTTTATAAACTTAGTGGTATAACTCTTGTATGTGGGTAACGCCGTAGATTCTCTCATACCTAGTTAGTCATGTGTAGCTTTCAAGATATTTTTTTTGATTCCTAGAATTATTCTCAGAAACTTTTCCTCTCCTTTTCCTTCTGGAAGTTTTGATGCATCTTTAATCCCTGTGACTGTTAGTTCTCTTGCCATTCTGCTGTCACTGGGGGGGGAAGTAGTATTGGCACCTGGATGAAATCTGCCTCATACCTCTCACCAAAGTAGTAGCCATGACTGCAAGATGTGCCGTGTTTCCCAGTTTCTTGTCCCGAGCACTGACAGTACATGCAGTCAGACAAGACCACTGGGATTAGTTCATTTTTTATAGAGCTTCCAAACCTGTCACTTGACAGCAAAGGTCTGATTCTCAGGGATTCATTGGTATGCAAAGAAGCTTGTTTGCAGTTTGCACCAGGCTCTTCTCCAGAACCATGCATGCTCCATCTGTGCTGATAACACAGTGTTCTTTGGCACTGCAAACTGGAGGAAGCCAGAAAGTGAATTCATTTCATTACCCCAGACATTATGTGAATGACAAAGCGCTTTTATATTATATGCTGCTGTCAGTTCAGTGCCACCTGTAAGACTTTTTCTTTTCCTTCCTTTATTTTTTCAAACAGGCTGTCTCTTCAGAACTGATAAGACATCAGGCTTGAGGACCTGCATGTCATATCAATCTGTCATAATGACCTTGCTAAATATTAATTTATGATATCTTACTTTAATCGATATTAACAGCACCCTGAAGTTCTCCATTAGTGCACATAAACCTGCCTGTATCTTTGACGTATTATAGCAAAATACTCTTTTTGGAAATACAAATGGGGATTAATAAAAGTGACGGATCTGTAACAGAGTCTTATGGTTGTTGGCCTGTGTTGGGGTTAGCCTCAATAAGCAGTAACCATCTTTAGCCACTGACCATAGGCAGAATGACATGTTATTGCATGGAGGGCCTCAGTTAAATGCATTTAATATCGTAAGATGTTTTGCGGTTTTGTGCTTACTGGCTTGACCTGGATGTGCAGGTCTGGCAGGCAAGTTTTCCTCTTTGCCATTAGTGGTATCCAAATTAGACAGACTTGGGTTGCCAGTGGTTTGGTAGCAGCTGGAAGAGTTTACTGGGGGATTCCAGCATCTGCTTTCAGTTATTTTAATTTTTTTTGTAATTAGAAACACTTTTTGTCATTCCCAAGATTCGTATATTTACTTGAAGTAGGAAGAATACAATGGTATCAAGACAAGGAAAAATACTGAACAGAAAAAAGTTAGGGTGCAAGCAGGTGCTCTTTTTCTGATGATTTGCTGAAAGGGAATCCTATCTGTGCTCTTTATCTGTCTGTCTTCAGAGAAGAATAAAGAGGGTTTCTTTTTGATATACAGTGGTACAGAGAATTTAAAATGACTGATTAATCTTTAATCGTTTGTCTCTGGGTATACTCTTAGATACCCTTTTATATGAAAGAGCTTTTCAGAATCATAAAACCCTCATATTAACTTTCTGTATTTTAACATGTTTGATAAGATTTCAAAGTATTTTAAGCTACCTATCATTGATCATGAGGTTCAGAGTCTGAAAGGCCCAAAGTGCAAAGAAAGTCTTCCAAATGGTAACTAGGGACATAATAGCATGTAGGTTTTTTTCTTTTTCAAAATATTTTCTGTAAAATTTGGTAAAGTACATTGAGAGTCAAGAGAGTATGAGAAAACCAATGTATGCTTTTCTAATTACTATAAATGCATAGGTTTTAATCTTTAATATAAAAATCTAGTGAGCCCAAGTCTTCTGTAAAATAGGCTCAGCAACAAAGTATTCAATTTTGCTTATAAAAAAAAAGTTAATTTTGCAATTAACTTAGTGCTTGAAGTTACTGGTAACTAGCGTTGTGCTATGGTGATCTACTTTACAGCAATAATCTTGTCTAAGTTTAAGCAAGGTGTTTGTTAAGGAAAAAACACTCACTATATTTCAAGGGAAAATGTTAAATTAATGTGATATCTCATTGTAAACTGGGACACAGCTTTAGGACTCCCAATGTTATGGGAATCTGTTATAAGTAAGTGCATTGCCAGCCGTCAGGAGGCTCAGTTCTTGAAATTTGTCAGGGACCAATTCTTGTTTCATCTGTGATCTCCATTATAAATCTGATGCAGCTCATTTCATCCAAGCTGCCTACATAGATTTCATACAAACTACTATACAGGTCGGCTTTTATACAAACCCTTGTTCATGATGAAGTGACTACGAAGGATGTGGAGTTTCTTACTGATTAGTTTGGTTTTGATAGCTGATATTGCCTGGCGTGAAAAATGCCAGAAAATATGTGTTGCAGAAGAAGAGTTTCAGGTACCTCTGCCTTTTCTAAAGCAGCAGCTTTCACAACAATTACACCAAAGTCCTTATTATTTTAGATCCAGAAAATGACAGTATGCATACGCTCGTACAGTGGGCATATTGCATATGAAAGCAGAGAGAGTCTCCTCCTAACCTAGTTTAGTGAACTGGACTGTTGTTATAAACTCTAGCTCCCTTATTGTCAGGAAGATTTGCATAAAATTTAGAGCTGATCTGTCAAAAGCTGTTCCATAAATGTGCACAGTTATTTTTATATGCGTAAAGTTGCCATTTGGTGCAGAGTGGCTGCTATGTGAACAAGTTGCATGAGAACTAGTGGAGTCATTTTTGAAATCAACATTGAAGTTCCAGTTCATATATGTATGACTTGGGATGTTTTGAGAGAACAAAGGAGCAGAAACAGTCAAATATATGGGGTGATGAGGCACCGAGCTATGTAGGGCTACTGTCAAACCAAAAGTGAAAAAAAAAAAAGTCTTTGTTCTGATAGTTTCTACAGTCAAAGTAGGTATTGTTTGGGGTTGGTAACAGGGCCAAATTTTGTGCGTGCATCTCCCCCCGCCCAGGAGATAATGAAATATTTCAGCAATACCTTCTAATTTTTAAGAAGTTTGCTTTGGAATTTAAATGCAAGTTATTTTCTTCCCCAAATTCATCACAAATTTCACATAAGTGACTGACTGCAGAGGACATTGATGGTTATGAAGCAATTATTTAAAAGCTGGGTATTACGCAGTGGTTTAGTAACAAAATCTCCATAGCTTTCAGTAGTTTCTGATGTAATGGCAGTTTAATTGATACAGTAGAAAGGTTTTCTTCTCAAAAAAAGAGAATTTGAATGCAGAAAGAGCTAGCATGCTAAAAAGGGGAAAAAACAAAGTTTTTACTGAGAACTTTGAGCATTTTGGGTGGCGATTGGCTAGTAACAATTTGGTAGAAAATGTTATCCGAGTTGTATTTTAAAATGAGATTTAAATAATTGATCTAATGAGGGAGAATATTCAGTTACAGAAATAATTGCTTGGCACAGCCTTTAGAACAGAATTATTTAGTCCCAGTAAGAGGACTGCACCTTTAATCAGAGGTCCTAATCTGATTTTTAAAATGTGTCTGTCGTTTGTCTGACAAGCGAAGTAACAAATGAATTCTGAATTGTATGACCCGGGCAGCACGTAATCTGTGTCAGCCACTGCTGTAGTTTACTGTAGTAGCTGATGGAAACGTGTAGCTATGATGATCACAGAATCACAAGCACTCAAATTTGCCAAATATGTTGGGCTAGTTTGGCCACATATGCTTGATCTTCTTGTGTCAACTAGCTATTACTTCCTGTCTTGAGGCCAAAAGGGTTATTTTTGAATGCAAAACCATTCCAGTGTGCTGTGCTGTTTTCTGTGTTCTGGCAAAAAATCTGTCACCTGGTGGGTCATTCAGAGATAGGTTGTTCAGTTTGATCTGTCTTATTTTAAGACTGTGCTTGTGTACATATTTCTGTTTAATTAAAGGTGTGAAAATATCAATTGATGTAGGGATCTTTTCACATAAAAGTGATCTTTTTAATCCTTCACTGAAGAAAAACCCTGCAGTAAATACTTCTTGAAACAAAATATGGAAATAGAAATTATAAAAAGTATATATTAGTAATAACTAATAGTAAGAAGGACGTATTACTTCTATGTTCATGCGAGCAAATACATAATGATCAAGTTCAATGTGTTTACTATTCCCTTTTTTCACATCCCTTTTCTCCTTCTGATTATTTTCTAGATGCAAAAACGTGCAATGAAGTTGACCTGGAAAACTCTGTAGATTGGGAAGTGAAGACAATTACAAGTGCTATGAAACAATATCTGCGGTAAGCCTATCTCATTTATTTGATTATTTTTAGACTATGAAATCTGTATTCTAATTCTCCTTTGCGGTCTATTAAGTGACATTACTTATTTTTACATTTTGGAACAGAGGTTCATTTTGTGCAAATTCTGGCTTTGTTAATTGTCTTGGGGGAAGTAAAATAATTTAGCAACACTTGTATGAGATAAGTCCCAAAATGTTTTTGTGTTAGTTACATAATGTTTTTGTGTTAGATACATAAGCATTTCACTGATGGTTCAGAAACCTGAGTTATTAGTAAACTTGCTGAGAGTTGTTACTGAAAGCCTTTTTGTGTTTTAATGTGGCAGAATGAAAAGGTTATGAAATTTTCAATATTTTCCTCTCCCTTCTGACCTTCACTCTGATATTCTAGGTGCGATAGTATTTTGAGTGTTAAAAGTAAGAATTTTAGATGCATTTTGTGTTCAAATGACTTGGCCAATTTCTGGTCAAGATATTTTACTAAATTACCTGAGAACATAGAATGTAGAACTGTTGTGTATGTCTTGTAGTGTATCATACAGTATTTTTAATCTGCTGTTTTTTATTAAAGTATTACTGCAACCAGTATTCAACAGTGCTGAAGAACTATTATCAAAAGTCTCTCCTACAGAGTGTAGCAAAGAATAAAAAAAAGTGGGAAAGAAAAATAAAAAGTGCACATGGTGAAGTATTTCCTGCCTACAGCATTTCCCATCTGAGTGTTTACTCCAATATTTCTTAAGCATCAGTAAAGCCAACTTAATAAATGAAGGGTTTAACTCTGATTTCCATTATTCAGTACATTTTAATTGGGTGACTATGACTTTCAGTTTCAATTTTTCCATTTGAAATGCTTTAGACTTAAAAACTTAACGGTTTTAGGACCTTACTTTCTTTCCAGTAAGGCATTCTAATTCTTTGTATTTTAAGAACACAAATGAAGAATTAATTATGTAGTATACATGTACAGTCTCTAGCTGAGAAACAGTCTTGTTGTTGTAATTTTGAAAGGTACCCTGTGGTAGACTGGAAACATCACTTGGAATAAAGATGGAAAAGAATGTACCTAAATTTATTGTGTAATCCTTGTTTTACAGAAGCCTTCCAGAGCCACTGATGACATACGAGTTGCACGGAGAATTCATCATTCCTGCCAGTAACTATATGACCGTAATTTGAATAGAAATCTTTTCTTACAGTACCGTTGTGGCCTTAGGAGCTCACTGCAAATGCAATTTCAGAAAAAGTTTTCCACTCAATAAAAATATAGGAATAAGAATTAATAAGTTTTTTTTTTAAATGTAGTTTTTAAACACTGATCAGTTATAATATGTGTAATATATGACATATCTATCGACAGACAGGTTTGTGGCGGACTTAGCATAGCGCAGTTTTTACTTTTACGGCAAAGCTTTGAGGTAGACATTGTAAACATTCATTCTTATTATCTCAATTACATAATGATAAACATCTCCTTAAGTGATTTTTTTTTTCCCTTTCCATTTGTAAAGAATATGAAGCTTAGTAAAAGAAAATACAGTTAATTCAGGCTCATTTGAATCCTTACAGCACAGCTGCCTGACCCTTATTTTCAGTGCCGTGTTAGCTCTATATCCAGGCTGGCTTAAAGTGTTCCTCACAGATTAGTAGAAGAAAGGAAAGATTGTGCTACGGCAGTTCAAATGCAGACTTGGAGAAGACACAACAGCATTTGTAGTTCAGCTGTATGGTATCTAATGTACATGGAATTTTTTTGGAAGAGGATGGAGGGAAACTGTGCAGGAAAAATCTTGGCAAAGTATCAAACAGATATTTAGCTGATTTTCTTTCCAGCCTGTAGCACTCCTGGCAAACTGTGGGAAGCAAAATTAAAATAAACTTTCAGACAATTGCTTTATCTTCTTCAGATTGCTGTAATGACTTTCCAGGACTGCAGAATGTGTTCACTTGTAGTTCTTAATTCAAAATGAAAATTAGATCATAAAATTCATTGCAAAAGCACATCTTAGAGGCCAAGTGCTTCAACAAAACTCAACATACTCAACCTAGTATTGTGAGTCTGCCCGTTTGTATTGGAAAGTGTTAAAATAATTTTTTGACCTATGAAGTTTTGCCAGCAGTTTCTCGCCTTATTTTCCTCTCCCTATTTTATAGTCTCTTTCAATAAAGAAATTCCATTGAAGTTCCATGTTTTGAATAGTACAGTGTTCTTAAGTAATAAACAGGTCTGTAGAGGGGTTGATTCTATGCAGTGAGGGGAGGGAAATTTAATCAAAATTGCTGATCTGAATTACAGTATACTTAAAAATAGATAGTGTTGTTTCCTGTGTTGGCTATAAAAAAACCAACAACACCAGAAATAATAAGGAGTATCCTTTGTTCTGAAACTCTTGGGAGGGGTGAAGCCAAGATTAAAAGATTCTCCTTTTAATTTTCTTTTTTTTTAAAATACATATCAATGTAGATTGAAACTATATAAGCCTTGCTTGTACCTTGTGATTAAGTTGCTTAGCTATTCTTTAATTAGAGTTTGTGATTTCACATATATGTAAAATAGCCTTGCTTTAGAGAAGACATGGTTTTCTAGCTGTCTGAATTTTGATTAGCTAACTAGAAGATAAATGTTTTGCATTTGGGTAGCCATTTTTTTTTTTGCAATCTGTGCAGGGGTGTTCACTGCAAAAGAATAAAAAAACAACTGAAATCTGTAGCAATATGCAAAGAAAAGATTAATCTATAGCACTGTGCGCTAAAGAAATGTGCTCATGTTTTATATGAAATACATTTAACAATCAAAGTTGACTTAGAGTAAAACGGGACATGATGAGTGGTCTTGGTGTCAAAACTTCTTGCATTCAAAGTAGGTTCTAAATTCTTCTCTTTATGCACATTGTATTAAGTATTACTGTGTGAAAGAGAAATAGTTCTACTCTCATTGTAATCACCACTGAGATGTAATTTTGTGATTTAAAGCAACTTTGAGAAATAGGAAAAGGGATTATTTTTGTCATTTACGGATTCTTGTTTTCATCTGTGTACTAGTGAAACCTGTAGGGGCCAAAATTACTCAATTAAACACTCAACACACAAAAATAAAAAGCTGCTTGCTTATTATTGCTTTAGTTCTGTACTGCAGTGGAGAGAGATGCCGCTGTTATTCAGGGCCCTTTGTCATAGTAATCTCACTCGGTAGGGTTTTTTTGCCTGATTATTCTTCTGTGTCTTCAGAGGTCATAAGATTTTCTCTTTCTGAGCGTATGAATCTTCTGCATGCATTGTCTTACATGGCTTCCAACGCAAGTTAGCATAAACACAGTATCATTAGCTGCCTAGTACCAACAAAACGGATTTCTAATGATGAGGACAATCAGCGAATGATGCGAAAATGTAAAGTAGTATGGTTCCACTCTGTGGTGCCCAGTACTGTTGCTCCTCACCTTGCAGTACGTTTATAGGCAGATGAGTCCAATGCAGCAAAACAATAACTACATCTGTCAGTTTTTAAAAATAGATGAACAAAGGCATCCTTTTGCAGGTGGATTGAAAGATGAGTTCAGAAAATAAGCAAATAGGTTGGTAATTCTAGAACAAGATTACTTGTGAAAACAAAGCACATATGTTCGACATTGCTGTGTTTGGAGATGCATAAGTGGGGAGGCAAAGTATGCTTCTGTGCAGGGGTGGGAGAAGCTTTGTTTCTCTGTGGTTTTTATTTTTGTTGTTTTGAGACATTTATTTCTGTATCCCATAGAAAGTGGGAGTCCTGAATCTCGAGTTAATGCTGTTCACTTCTTGGTCCATAAACTCCCAGAAAAGAACAAAGAGATGCTGGAGATTTTGGTGAAACATTTAGCTAAGTAAGTGTTATGACCTGCTTTTTTACCGTGCCCGAGCTCTTTTTCTTACCTATGTTTAATTGGAAAGGTCTTTAGTTAAGTGTGGCTGGATCTGAAGCCCATCTCGATGCTGTCATACACAATACCGAGAACCAAACGTGCAAAAGCAGACAAGACGTTTGACTCATGCTGTGTATATTTTGGCGGGAAAGGCAGAAATCTAATCCGTTAATGAAGCCATATAAGTATTTACTTTAGCAGTGCTGCCAGAAGTTAAGAGTTTGATTGAAGTGAGAAGAGGAACATTATACTTTCTTTTTGCAAATTCTGGCAAAATGAGTAGTGGAGATCTGTTAGCAAATTTAAGTTGGTTTCACACTTGCCCTGGTCCAAGGCTTAAGTGCATTTTATATATTTAAGTTCAGTAAGAGACTGCTTTTGTTTTCAAATTGCCAGTGGAAGAATGGCTTTTCTGTTTTCCAGGATTCGGTAAGACTTTATTTGAAGAAACTTTGCACAAAACAAACTTCTAAACCATAGATTAAGGAAATGTAATGTTTTGATTTGTAGACTGCAGTTTCCAACAGTAATGGAAATTTTTCATAACCTATTTCCTGTTTTTTCCTTCAATTCTTTTCAAAAAGTGTTTCAAAGCATGCCAAGAGGAATCTAATGACTGTGGCAAATCTAGGGGTAGTGTTTGGACCAACCTTAATGAGGCCGCAGGAAGAAACTGTAGCAGCCATCATGGACCTGAAGTTCCAGAATATTGTTGTCGAAATCCTGATAGAAAATCACGAAAAGGTAAGATTTGATATATCTCTGTGTTTCTGAGCATTGTCTAAAATGATCTGCTCAGCTTAATATGGGTAGTATGGAGTTAAGTATGATGTTAGAAATAGCTTAATTGCTAAGAATATCCTCTGTACTCGGTACACTTTTGACTATTTATACTCGATAAGTCTTCCTGTTTGTAGGTAAACTGACATTTTAGAATTCATATTTTCTGGCAATAGCAGCGCTTCTATGTTTATAGTACACAAATAGATTTTCGTGATGATATTTTCGTATGTTTTTTTCTGAGCAAAAGTGATACAAGACTGGAGAAAAGAAAGCCCGTGCTCAGTTTTTACCTCTTCTATTAAGAGTTTTGACCAGAATCTAAATTAATTGTTCTATGTCTTCATTTTTCTCAGAGTTCACAGAGTATAAAGAAGACTTTACTATACTCTGCATTTTATAAGGTGTTATGAGAGAGCCAGGTATTAACATTTCCTTTGTTTTCAGCTGAATGTGCGTTATTTTAAGCCTTTGCATTTGAGGTAATACTGAAAATAGAAGTTGTTGCTGCTGCTCTGGCAGTTGCCAGTTACTAAGGTGCCTTACACATACATGGTGCTGTCCAAAATATCATTGCATGTAATCCAGGATCTGAAGTTTAAAAAAAAAAAATAAAAAATCCTTTACTGGTCTCTGTTTGGGCTCTCCTTAGGGAGTCCCTCATGTCTAATTCGACTTCTGGAACTGGATGTTTGAAAGTGCTTTGCTTGTAGTGGGAGGATGGGCAGCATCTCCCTTGCTTTTGTTGTCAAAAAAAGTGCTTTGGAAAAATTCTAGGATGTACTTTTTCCTCTCTTGTTTCTTAAGCACTCTGAGCATTGAAGCAATTATTTCTTTTAAAGGTTAACAGTGTTGAAATTGGCTATCTAAGTCGAGTCTTATCTACTTTAAATAGTATCTGTCTAAGTTTTTCTGACAATGTAATTACACCACCTCCCTGAATGATACAGGCTGGGCAGATCTGTTGGCATAGCTCTATCCCTATGATGCGTTTTGTTGGCTTAGTTGACTTTAGGGTGTGATGCTGCCCTCACACACATGTTGAGCAGATACAGTATTGTTCTGTTGGAAAAATACTGGGCTGCAGGTGTGGCTCAAGTTCTAAGCGATAAGTATTCCAAGAGTAAGCCATGGTATTAATTTTGGATCTTATAAATGAAACGTAAGCCTTGCAGTGAGCTCATGGTTTTGAAGCTATTGCAGTGACCACGTAAATTTAAGTAGAGAACGAGTGAGCAGGACCATGGTATTTTAATAACATATGAGGCTGAGTTATGCTTATTCCAATTTCTAGATCACCACAGATTAGCATCATCTTATTCTTACACCAGCTCAGTCACATGTCTTTAAAAACTGCACATCAGTTTCACATTTGAAATGTTAGTTGTAGTGGCCTTTTTTTGTGTAGGGACACAATTAATAGAAAGTTCATCACAGTGGTACTGCATCATTTTCTGTAATTCCTTGGTTTTATGCTTTATGTAGAAGACTAATTTTTTTAAGGATTTCTGTCATTTCCAACAGTGAACTTGCCATCAGTGGTCTGCCTGCAGCAACCTGCCCCACGCTAGAGCTGCTTCCAACGTGGAAGGAAGCCCCAAGTGGGACCTCGGTGTATTTATAAGAAAGGCAATGGAGAGGTGTGTGTTAAGGCATTGCAAAGATTTTGTAGTCAAATTGAATATGTTGCTTTTGCAAGTGAGCCTTTTCATTTAGGGCAGACCAAGAGCCTACTTTTAATGGCAAGCAGGCTTATTGTCATTCCAGTGTTCATTTTACATTATCATCTTAAATTTCTACATGTTTCAGACTTTCTAAGTGTCTTGTGTTAGGTATTTTTATTTATAGCCTTGGTGACATCCTAGGAAAAGTCACCAGCTGTGGGTTAAAGTACTTTTAAATGCTTCATGCAGCCACTACTCTGCCTCTGCTAATTTTTAACAGCTTCTGCTACTAGAAATTTGGAATTGTGAAAGAGTGGTGGAGTCAAGATGGAGGTACACCAACACAAACAGTCTTGAAGCAACGCTTCACGCATACATAATTTATGGCTCTGGCAGGCTGCAGAGAGGCATTTCTTTTTCAACTGCAGCAAATGAAAGGATTGACAAAATTCAGAATTGTAGAAGCAATAGCCATCATCTTTTCCAGTTTAAATACAGTAACCTGCTGGTCAAAATAGTAAAAAAATTGTTACGGTTCCTGAAATATTTTTAAAATCTGTCAGCTTTCATTATGTCTTGCATGGATAGCTTTACTGAGGGAGATCTATAATTCCTTTTTAAGAGGAGACATAATTAAGTGGGTTACTAGCTTTGAAATCTTGACCCAGTCATTCCACTGTCATCACTCTGTTAAGTCCCAATTAGAGAATTTCTATGCAATTTATGTGTGGAAACCTGGATATGAGACTTGCCCTGAAATAAGAATATCATGCTTAGTGTATAAGCTGTGTTTTGTTGTTGTTTTATCTTTAAAAAAATTTAAAAAATATTTGTTTATATATACATTTTTTTTGGCTAGAAACCAGTCAGTGCTACTTTCACCTCATTTATGGGCAGTGTACATACCTCCAAACCATGGCTGTGAACCAGTTATAGTAGTCTGAGGAGAGGATGTTTGGCAAAATCTGACCAGTGCTGAGGCTTGAATGCTGGAACTAAACCAGGCAGCTGGATGTGTCGTGTAACGTGCATTAGAATTGCACAGTGATTAAGAAGAGCGTTAGAGAAATAATTGTTTAATTTTTGTTCTTGTCCCGTATCTTTCCCTTCACTAAAAAAGCATCAAGAAATTGATGTCTATCTCTCATCATTGTGTTCATTTTGATTTGAATCTGTACTTTTCTGTGATGTTCCTTTTCTTGAGGTAATGAACTTAGGGGCTGATGGCAACTGTGCCTGGACAGTGCCTGGAACAGTCTTTGCTTGGCCTTTGGGTAATCCTCTGATGAAAAGTGCTAGTCAACTTGGACTCCCCCCAAAAAGTTTTGTTTTCTTTCTTCTTCTCCTCCCTCAATCAAATGAGTTTCAAGAGCAGAAAATGATTTTTCTCACCAAGGATTTCACAGACTGGAAATCTGGGACATCTCAGCTATTCTGCTCTTCCTTTCTGACTGCCATGAGGATGGAGAGGAGGCTGCTCCACAGCAGCGTGAAGAGCACATGCATGTTCATCTTGCTGGTTGCTATACCGTTTTGGCATTTCATTGTGTTGAATGTCATTATTCAAAGGGCTTATTTATTTGCCATTTAGAGATGCCTTAGTGGTAATGTGAGCCATTTTGGTTTCTCAATTCCCTGACCATTATTTTAAGGGGGAAAAACCAACCAACCAAACAAAAGTAATCCTGGGATAAAAAAAGAAGTTAAGAAATGGGAGGAGGTTGGAAAAAAAAAAAATCTCAGTGGGACTGGAATATTTAAACCAGCATATGGGGGAGGAAGGAATAATGAGCACAAATAGCAAGATTGCAAAAACAGAAAGATGAACATTACAGAGAAAGAAAATGAGAAGAAAATAAGAGAGGGACTAGAGAGAAGTCCCTTATGGAGCCTGGGAAACCAGAATCTGATGGAAAGGAGTGGGCATGGTAAAAATGACATTTTTCTAGAATTCAGACACTCTCTAGGCAAAATTAACTTAAAAGACATTAATCCTGAAAGACTTAGTAGTTCTATATATAAGGTAGATACTCTTTTCACTTGTTTTATGTATTAGTCGTTTTATAAAGGATAAAATTTTTATGTACTTTAGACAAAATACATCTTTGTTCCAGCTTTGTTTTCTTCAAAATGGTTTTATGGAGAAATATTTTTAAATGAAATATGAAAGTCTTACAAATATTTATGAAACATAAATGGTTTAATTTTTTTTTTACTTCAAGAACTTTTATTATTTTTTTAAGCTGTGACGCCAACATCAAATTCGTATAGTAATACTTTCAAAATCTTTAGTCTTAGCATATTACGGTGTCTAATACATGCAATATTAGTGAGAAGAAGAGGAAGCGAGGAAGTTGGTTGTTCATTTCCACTTAGCAACCCCTGCATGTTACAAGCTGTTGATTTGCTGGTGCCATAGTGCAATGGCAATGACACGATCTCAGCTAAGCCTGTTTTTTTGATGACAGAGCTGATCGTTTGAAGTCCTTTTGAAGGGACGTACAAGAAATACTAAAGAGGACTTGTTTCCGCTTTTGTGTTGCTTTGCCTTTGGCTGCAATGGTGGGCCAAGCAGCAGTGCATTGTTATAGCGATGGTTTTCTGTGGTCTAGCAGTTTGAAACCTCTCCAGGCTCAACGTTTCTCAAGTCAACAAGTGTTTGACTTGGAAGACAGAAAAGAATTACGTACGATATCTCTGTTAGGGGAGAGTTTGCAGAGAAACACATGAGCTTCAGCTCAGCAAGGTATTCAGCATGTCCTTAACTTGAAGCATGTGACTAATCAGAAGCGTGGTTGAAACTATTCGTGAATGAATTCAAATTACATGCCTTAGTGGTTGCTTCAGTCTAAAGCAGAAAGGGCAGCAGGCACAACAAAAAAGTTTGACATGGTTTCTGGTAGAAGTCGCAGCAGCTCTTTCATTCCACTATAATGGTTTCACCTAAATTTCAGAAGAAACTTCTTCTCAGTAAGGGTAACAGAACACTGTAACAGGCTGCCCATGGAGGCTGTGGAGTCTCCTCCTCTGGAGACATTCAAAACCCACCTGGACACGTTCCTGTGTGACCTACTGTAGGTGATCCTGCTCTGGCAGGGGGGCTGGACTAGATGATCTTTTGAGGTCCCTTCCAACTCCTGACATTCTGTGATTCTCTAAACCCCTTCTTTGCCTTGTGGGTGACAGAAAGCCTTTGCATAGTAAGATGACTGTGTATCAAATCTCCAGTCATGTTTGGGAGTGCAGTTGGTGACATTAAAAGGAGCTGAGTCGGGATCAATACTTGGATTGGTATGCTGTTAGACTGCTCCAAAGGAAACAAAATATGCA